GTGGTGGGAGCTGCTGCTGCTGTTGCAGTGGTGGGAGCTGCTGCTGCTGCAGTTGCGGCAGTTGCTGCTGTTGCTGCTGCTGCAGTTGCAGTAGTGGGAGCTGCTGCTGCTGCTGCTGCTGCATTTGCAGCAGCTGCTGCTGCTGTGGCTGCTGCTGCAGCTGCTGCACAAGAGAGATCGAAGGAGCCTCAGCGTCGCACACGCGCCAGAGACAGCACAAACCATCATCGCCTGAAGTGTAGAAACACCCAGGACGAGACGACGAGACAGAGCAGCCTGCAACCGCAGAATACATGGACACTCGCGAGGCGGGATCAAAGCGCCGTTACTGATGAAATATGCAGCATGCAAATAATGACGCACTGGCAGAGACAAACAGGCAGAAAAAGGAACATGGTCAGAAGAGAGAACGACGAATCCTGCACACAGGATGCAGCTGACAGTAGCACACGGGGGGGGGGGGGGCGGGGGTCAACCATTGTTGGCGGGCAGCCCTCAGAAGAAAGCAGAAAGAGGGCCATACATAGAGAAGGACGTAGAGAGTAGCGCAGAGAGGTGGATAGATCGACATACGGACACGGGGAGGCTGAGTTGAGAAGAGGCTGCCAAACGCATCTCTTTTGCGAAAGGGAGAAGTAGAGCCCTGTGGGTTATGCGGATAAAACAGACTAACGAGGAGAAAGCAGAACAAGGACGTTGCAGATGATTGTGATTGGGGAGATGAGAGTAAAACGGAAATAACGACTGACTGAAGATGAAGGCCTCATGGGCCTCCGCTTTGCTTAAAAGAAGTCGCCCCTCCGTTGACCACAGCTTGATGCTTCCGTCGTTGGACACGCTTAAAAGCCTGTTCTTCGTGGTGCTACTAACGGCGCCGGAAGAATCGCTGCTGGAGGAAGGGAAGGCGGCGAGACTGCGGATGATATCCTCGTGAGCATCTGCGATGGAATAAGTGCACAAGTGCAGCTTGCACGCTTGCGCTGCCGTTCCCGGCGAACCTCTGGGCTGGTCGCCCCTTTATCTGCTCATTTCATCTCCCTCTCACTACTTGGTGCTTTGTCTATCCCATCCTTTCTGTGGTGAAGCCGCCTCTCCCTCTCTAAGTACGTCTCAGGCGAAAAGTACACCGTTCGAAAGAATTCCAGCAGAGAGCTACATCCGATGAGGACGATCCATAAAGATTCGCTACCGCAAGGCAGTTCAAGTTCCGAAAGAAACAACGTCAAAAGCGGGGTACAGAGGAATTGAACGCCGACAAGCAGTAGAAGGGGCGTTATCCTTACAGAAACAGATATCACAGGATATGGGTTGTCCCAAAAGGCAGTCAGGAACAGAAAAAGAGAGACTTTGTAGCAAAAGCCAGCAGAAATAAATAACTACTTGAAATTATGGCTCACAGAGAGAAAGAAAGAGATTGATGGAAACGCGTAAATCAACTGAAAGCACCGCTTACTCTCAATGTGCCTCGTGAGGTTCCTTGATGTACCCCAAAAGCAGATGGCCTTCGACTGCGAAGCCGTCACTAGGTCATCTCCCAGCCAGCACACACAAACTGGGTGCACGACAAGCAGAGCAACCAATACACCGTTCGCGACAGCACGCAAAACTGTGCGTGCTTTAGAGCAATGGCCTACATTACCACACACGTCTTTATGAGGCCAATAGTGCCCGAAGTACTGTGTCCAGGAGAAGGAAGCTGGCAGTTATAGGCGACGTAAACGCTTGTAAAGTATCTACTAAGGCAAAGTAGGAGGGTTTAGAAGCGTTAAAGTCTTAGTGAACAGGACCTAGTGCTCACGAGCAAGGGGCTAAAAACGGCTAATATTAGGTACCTGCAAAGGCTTGGTGCTGAGACAGCACAAACAGGAGCTGCCCTGAATCCCTATCCCAAACTCTGGCTTCGCCTCCCCAGTCTCCGGATGCAACAATTTCTTTCTTCTCAGCCACTGAACAAACTGGACCTCCGTGACCCTGAGAGCATTTAAAAGGCACGCAGAAAAGCAGTTGTAAAGCCTAAGAAAATACACAAAATCCAGGCAATTTGAAGAAGCCGCATACTAGCAAGCTCGTGTAAGTACACTACCAAATCCTAGGGCGTAGTCCTGTTGGCTGACTGAGCGCGTATTTTGTATTTGCCCTGGGATGCCTTGTAGTGGGGGATGAGATTACAGGCGGGTGTAGGAATTACCTGGTACTTCATCTGGACCACACCGGTGTCTGCACAGACTCTGCAGAGCATTCTGTCTTTGCTCCCAGAGTAAAACTGTCCAGGAAAAGATAATGAGGGCGCAAGGGACAGCACGAAGTCGCTATGGTGCTTCAGCACTGTGTGGTAACTGTACAGACTCCCCACGTAGTCACTACTGCCCTGGCCCTTGCTGCTCCCCATATCGGGTGCATTGCTGCCATCCAGGGAAGTTGCGAGGCAATCCTTTTCCCTCTGCTCTTGATCGATCTGGGGCTGCTCTTGTTGACGCCAAACAACAACTGTGGAATCAAGCGATCCGGTAAGTAACATTCCATTAGGCAGCACACAGCAGCATCGCACTGCAGCACGATGTGCTCGGCCCTCAAAGGCCAGATGAAGGGAAGGGAGGAACATGCTTCCAGAGGTTAATGCGGCTAAGGCGGCTGCAGCTTGAGGGGTTTCTTCGCCGGCGAGCGACCAGCTGGGAGGAGCTGAAGGCCTGCGAGAAGAGGCTGCAATGCCCCTCGAATTAGCAATATTACAGCTCCACTGTTGGTGCTCTAAGGCATGCATGCCCACTCTCCACTCCAGAGCTGCAAGACCCTGCAGCTGGCGGCGGTTGCTGCAGCGGCAGCAGCTGGATCGGCTGCAAGAAGTAGGGCAGAATTTTTCCGTTCTGTCTGTCTGGACGAATGAATGAGAAGTAAACATAAATTCAACATGGAGGCTTTCTAAGCTGGTGCTCCTAAGGTGCTCCATTAAGCACACGCCTTGGGAGCAGCAGCTGCCACAACCTCCATCGTGCGAGTCGGGCGAGAGCTTCAATTCCTCCATGGCCAGTGCGAGTCTTATTGAAATAGGTAGAGCAAAATAATATAAAATGTCCCTATTTGCACGCCCAACTTTAGTTTGCTGCTTCGAGAAGCTTCAAGAGTCATTTTTCTTAGGAAGGCACAAGGCAGGCACACGCAAACGGAAAAGCATGAAGCAAACAGAAAACGGAATGTAACTACTTCCAATTTGTCTAGCCAATGCTGCCATTTCGGTACTTGTAGGAGCAGCAACAGCGGCAACAACAGTGAATTAACAGCATTGGCTACTGAAGCATTACTAAAAAGAATGCGACCACGGGAAGACCGTAACCAGTTGTGTTTGTGAATATCTCTCAGCCCAGTGCTTCCCCCTGCACTGCAAACTTACTAGGCATGAGGGTCGGCTGACTACAGTTCCGCTAGTGTCTTCTACGTCGACACTGTGGGTTATTTGCGTTTGGGCATAGAGCTTGTAAGGCACATCTCGGTATTCACAAAGAAACATTGAGATTCAAAACCTTTTAAAACTCGAGCAAAACTAGTTGTGCCTCCTCTAAAAGGCTTCCTCATCTTCTTTTGCCAACCACAAGCAGCTCAGAAGTAAAAGCCACCGGGGTGCAAATAGATGTACCCACAATCTGCCCAGGCCTCCTTTCAGTGTAAGGCGACCCCGGCTTCGAAGCATATGAATTCCAAAAACAAGTGCATCATGCAGCTACTACATCTGTACCTGGTTTAGGTGCACTCAAACGCTTCTATAAAACTAGTTTTACTTAGATAATAATCGATTATTTCGTTGGCTTGTTCGTATTGTTTATCGCAGAGCACTGTTACCTGACTGCAACGAAACGCAATGTTGTATGTGCGGGAGCTATTTGCTACTTTCAACTGGCTGTGAAAGCTCGTGGTGCTTACAGATTGCGCAACACTCCCCCTAGCTCTCCATTTACAGTCATACAGGGAAGTCTGAAGGGCTTGGGCAGGGAAGGTCAGGAGCTCTTTTGTGAAACACTCGATAGCGTTCTACGAGTTTTTTATTGCGCCTAGTGTCAAGCATATCTCTATAGACACCCTAGGTAGAGCGTTACAACACCCCCAATCCATGACCAACCAGAATGGATCTGGCAATTGCCTTGACTAGCTTCACCCGTCACATATCACCGCCTGGACATGGTCTGATGGCACTGAACTGGATTACTTTGAACGATACCACAAAGAAATTGACGATTAAGTACAAATTATAGATGCAGCGACCTTTGGATTCGTTCAGAAGTCACCAGGTTACATACTGGTAGGGTGGCAAGGGCTTGACGCGGCCCTGCAGTTTACAGTCAAGAACGGAGCACATATCATGCATATTTTTTGCAAAATAAATGGCATATTAGCATATTTTCAGAAAAGTTGAAACGCGAGAAGTGTTAGTATGTACCTCTTCCGTTTTGTCGTCTTACTCTTTACCCACGTGCCTTCTTCGCGTCGCTATCCTTGCTTTGGTTATTGCAGCGCTTTATCGCCACTCAGCCAGAGACGCCATCTTTCTCTACTTGTGCACACAGCCAATTCCTTGCTTTCCCAGACTCTTTTTTTAGACGGCATCTAGGCAATCCTTCCACAAGAGCCCCAAGAATGCAAGGGAAATGGTGGATGTGACAACGATCGTACTTCCTCTTTCAGAGCCTCTCACTTGGCTTTCTCCAAAAGTTACGGCTAGACGTGCATAGCTCGCGACCAGGCACAGATGATTGAAAGCGGAAGATAAGCAATATGAAGAGGGGCAACTAACAGTACAGCAAGGCAGCTCTTCTTGTACGTTGTGATAATGCGTGTGAAAGTATGCATGCTAGAAAGCAACCACAGCAATCAACATTGCAAGTGTGATATCATGGCTAGTAGACCCGGGACCCGCTTTAGACCGATGAACTAGACGTAAACGGTAATATAACTAGTAGAGCACGACGGGCTCACCCTCGCTGCCCTCCCCCCTACCACACATGTCGGAAAACCAGCGGCGAGAGCAGAAAAGGGTGCTAAAACTTTTGGAAGAAAACTCTGCAACATTTTCATAGGCTTGTATTTCCTTTCAAGTGTAGCGTCCTTGCGGAGAGTTTAGATGCAGCGTTACGGTTGGTAGAAACACATGATTCGATCCCGCCGTTCTATGCGCATCCACCTGCTATGGATGAATAGGGATATCGGGACTCCCCAGAGCAGTGTTCTACTGTTTGTCAAGTCATATGGTGATTGAGTAACCTTATTGGTTCCGTCAAAAAGCCATTAGAGAGAACGCCTCTTACTACTGGAAGTTGACAGGGGCACAGTGGATGATGGTGAGGCAAAGGCCGGCAGCTAGCTTATGCAAACTCAGAAGCTCCTCTGCAGGTATAAAGACATGCTTTGTCAGCCAAAAAATGCAGGTATGTGTAGATGTAGTAGTGCCCACCAGAAAGGTGTGCTGGCCGCAAGGATGGACAGGTACTCGAAGAGATTTCCAGCCTGCTGGAGACGCACCTTGTTTTGTACCCTACGGACGAGAAAGTTTTCCTTGCAACAGGTGGATGATTGGAATCAGATTCACTTGAATGGTGGTGTATATATCCATGTAAAAAGGGTCATCTGCCTGGAGGGACCACTACAGTTCAAGCCTCCATACAAGCCCTGACTAATGAGTTTATGCCGAAATTAGCTCAACGCCAGCCTTCGGGAAAGATCATACAGCTGAGCCAGGAAACTCGCTAGTGATCCGGCAAATCAAAACATATAATCCTTTGGCTTGCAAAAGCCACAACGTAGATGAACAATTGCTTTGTTATTGGCGCTCTTAATGACACCCAAAGTGTCACGCGTCTCAGAAAGCGCGTTGATACATCCATTACACTACCGGCCGGTGGGACGACTGCAGCTTATTTATCTTATTGAGGAATCACGAGCACGTAAGACTAACTCTTGCGTCGCTGACTTAGAAGTAAGCGTCGAATCAGGATTTAGAGCGTATGGATCTCGAGGCCGTGTCAACCAATCCTCGCCTACAGTCTGCGGTGAGCGGGAAAAACAATTCAGAGGCAGGCTGCACTTTCACTTACCCACAGAGAGCCACTAAACAAGGTGCCTGATTCTATTGCCGAAGAGAGCGTCAAACAATCCGGAGCTACACGCTCATGCAAAAAAGCAGAAAACTTGAATAGCGAAGCTGGGCTGAACCGAAGCAGGCTGTCTATCCAGCGAAGATGGAGCATAAGGGGAATGAAAAGCCACCACACAGGCAGGGGTTCTTTGAAACTGTCTACAGAGGAACGGCCACCAGCTGAGAACCCATCTTGGGTCGTTTTTGCGCTGATACAAGCTCACATTGATGGTCGTGTATTGCGGCATCCTTTGACATTGTGTGTAAAGTGGTTCTGCTTTCTGGGAAGATAGGGCACAGAATAGTCTGTTGTTCACTCATTACCTTAGTCCCTGAGGCTCAGGCTTTTGGGGGGCGGCAAACCGCAAGGGTTGACAAGGACACGGTAGTTAAATGCCACTAGAAATCGGAATGCAAATTCGGCATCGGGTCCTATCAAAATGATCTGGTACTTCACTTTTGACCCCTTGCACTGTGCCGGAATACTAGGTATCCCGCTGGTGACCCAATAGAAGGCGTGCATGCCACCACAGCACGCTGTGGTGGTTAGCGTGCCAGGAATCGATGGGCAGAAGCACCACTTTGTCTCATCACCAGCGATCATTCCATCTACGGTGAATGAGCCAGAGTTGGTACCTCAACACGGTAAGGTAGAGTCTTTCATGCGGGAGGCTCTGCAGGCCATAAGGGAAGGACGGCTCTAAGCATCCTTGCCCTCCTAGTGGTTCTGTAGCTAGTCTATTTTTAAGAATTTTCCTGAACGTACAGTTGAGGAAAACCGTGAATGGGCGAATGTTGAAGATCAGTTTGCGCGTAAATAATGGCAATCTGTCAGTAGGTTGACCAACTGCTGGATGTCTAGCGCATCATGAAAAACATAAAAATATTTCAGTCAGCCACAAGCGCTGTTCTCGAAAATCTCCTTAGTGGAAAAAATAGATTTGCCAGCTGGCGCATTATTTCTTTAGAAAAGCAAAGTGCTGCAGCAGACAAGCGCCTTTTGGCGGGACCAGATGTTCGCATTGAAAAAGGATCGAAGGTGGCGCATGTGCACCAACTTTAAGCGCCTTAGCAAGACAAGTGTAAAGCAGAAATTCGCGATGCCCCATGTTTGCTGATTCGTTCTACAGAGTACATGAATCAGCAGTCTACTCTGCTTTGAATTTGCAGACGCCTTCTTACAAGCTTTCATTCACTCCTATGGCATGCTCCGGAAACCAAGGCTCCACGCTTGCACTCGCCAACTCGTGTATGCCATGTGAACGTGTTCTCTCCTCAGGTGAACTTCAGCCGTAAGAATCTCGGGACTTCAATAAGCCTACCAAAATGGGGTTGATGGCTGTCTAGACGGACGGTGTGAGAATATGTGGCCGAAGCGTTTAAGAGCACTTACAGCACCTATGGCCTGCTTTTCGGCTGTTGGTGGGCAAGCAGTGGTATGTGAACGTACACAAGTGCCGTATTATCAGACTGATGCTGCTTTTAGGCCTTTGTATTATGGCTGCAGGAATTGAGCCAGATCTAAGAGCTAAACAAATAAAGGCATGGCGTTCACCTTTACGCACTTGCAAGGACACTGAATATTTCTAGGAGCTTGCATTTTTTTAAAAAGGTTAAGTCACGGGTTCTGCTCTCATCGCTTATCCTTAGACTAGTTTACATCCGAATATGCAGTCATCGGCCTAGGAAGAAATGGCTGATGCCACGGCAAGGACGCTTCTGAGCCCCCATGGCTTTCCTCCGGTACTTGGGCTCACCGAGGATCATTGTCACTCCTTCCTAAATACGAGTGCTGATGCCGTAGCGGTGAGCGAGATTCCCTTTCAACAGGCTACGAACTCTTCAGAATACACCAGTTTTTGCTCGTTATTATCGTAACTTGATAGAAGCCAATGCTAATGAGCCTTGATAAGGGCTTGCAGGCCTTCAATAGCCCTAGTTTCATTTTTCTGGCTTGGGAGACTTCTAAATAACAATTTTAAAGTGTGTACATTCAGGGGATCAGCAACGTCGTCGCCGGGACGCTCCCGTAACCACCCGGCAATTCAGCGCAGCCACTCTTGCTTGTGAGAATTTACGCTGTTAATCAACTTCGAGCTATATGTTGTTGGCAACTATATACATCCCTTACTGTTGCAAAAGTTCAGATTAGCAAAAGGAAAAAACAATGCCACGCTGAGGACGGCTTGCTTCGGTGTACAGCAAGGCAAGGAGTCCGTCGCCTGCACATTCCGACTTTAATCCCGAATGTCGTATTGCTAAAAGCGAATGAACATGCTTGATTAGACCATATTGGGATCACAATAAGATCAACGAGCTCATGTGGTCCTTCTAGTGGCTTGGATGCATCCCACGTCAAGGCACTATGTATTAGCAAGAACAAATTGTAGGCGGATGAAGCAACACAAATTGCCTAGAGCTGGCCCTTGCGGAACAGTCCCTTTCCTATAGGGCTTAGTTTGATCTGCATATGGATTGAATTGGTGATGCGATTAAGGGCCAGAACAGTATCTACGTCGTTGTTTACCGACACAGAAAAATGCCTTTTTTGCTCAATCTGGAGCTCTGTCGCGACTCAGGAGGTGTCTCCTTACCTCTTGCGTGAAAGCTCCACAAATATATCAGACTTTTCTTATAAATAGAGGTCCAAAATTTTCATTGCGTTCTAGCGTGCCATTATGACCCGTCTATACATTGGCTACAAGGGAACCTCTTCGAGCCACCGTGCGGCATGTGGACAAACAGCGCACCAACCACCCTATTCTGTAGTATCGGAGACAAAATACTCATAGAATCCATTTGCTTGGCTGGGGCTTCTTCCTTGTGTTGGGTGGGACTAAAATACCAGAGTGCATTCGTTTACCCATTGCGTCAGACTTTGCTGCGCAGTGTTGTTTTGCTCTCTTGAGACATGGTAGGATTCACAATGCACTGGGAAAGCTTTCAGGGCCTTTCTGCTGGACTGAGGCATGCTTACTGGCATAAATGTCTACATTATCATGCACAGTGTAGAGTTCATCGCAGACCCGGGCCAAGACCTGTTTTTGTCGAGTCAGTAGCCACCCATAGTGGCAGGGAGAGCTCTAGTAAAGCTAGTTAGTGAACGCGAACTTGTGCGCAAAGATGAAGAGACAAAAACCCGGAATTTACCAAAAATGGCCGCCGGCTCTGTGTTTCACGCCTGGAGATTGGCCCGTGGAACGGCAAGCCTAATCAGATGCATCAGACGGTGATCAAAAGAACAGACCTGCAGTCAGACGGTGAAGATCATGTGCCATCCTTTCACACATCAATGAACTTTCGTGCAGCAACGGTTTCCCCAGGATGTGGAAGTGTACAGTACTATCCATATTAAAATCCTTCAAAAGTTGCAAAACTCCCCGCATTCTTCGCGAGTTTCTTCGTGCTGGGACGATAGCCGCGGAGGCGAAAGGTGCAATAAGGCAGTACAAGTGCCAAATTCTCGGACTGTTGGGTCCTGAGGACATCTCCGACGGCAGTTTCTAGTGAAATAGAGAGGGCTTAAGACTAACCTCAGTGCTTGATGGAGAAGCATTTGAAAGCTTAATTGCTAGCTGCTTTACGGCTTTGTTTGCCTAACAACGCTGTGTCGTTATTGAAGCCGTTTCCCGCTTTCCTTGATATGTGCTAATCTGTAAGCATGCTCTCCCTGGAATAGCTACCTTCATTCGTAGGTATTGCTTGCAGATCTCCTTTTTCGTAGTATTATGGTGCTTACGACACTCAAATTTATGCGCGAAGGCTCTCGGCTACGTTGTTTCGACATCCTTCCTCATGCCCCTTTTGGAACTGTAGAGTTGGTTGTGCTGCATGCACAAGTTGTCTGGGCCTGCACACATTGCTCTAGAAGGGGCGAAACCGCTGCTGAGATAGATTCGACTTCTATACACTTTCCACGTTTCGCTTGTCTTATGCTTTTGTTGCAGGAGGCTCACATGTTTCAACGATACGACAAATAGCGAGCAATCACACCGCCGCTTTTTGTGTTGGTTGGCTTCTTCTCTCCTTTTTACTGGCTAATGTGGCTTATTTTTCCTTCAACGCCATTTATTCGGTTGATACGCACTTTGATTTTCTCATGTGCACTGCCTTCGGTCTTCTGCCTCCACTTGCAGTAGTACAGGTAGGGAACCCTTTCGCTGTTCTGCATGAAGTTTGACTCGACGTACATTTGCGTGCCACGAGGCAGTGAGGTTTGTCGAGAAGACGGAAGATGTAGCAAGCTAAGCTATACTCAAGAACGGTTTGTTGACAACTTGTAGCCAGCCTAGAATTATAAGGTTCGTTCATTTTATTCAGTAAAGACGACAGCTAACTCCGTAAAAATAAGGCGCAAATGCTGTATGCTGGTGATTTTGATGCGATAAGCAAGTAGCTGTAAATGCTCGGAGTACTAAGAGGGTGTAACTATCGCGTTACATGGCTATTCTTCCCTCACGCCGGGATAATGTGCGGCATGGAAAGGGAAAGTAGTATGTTCTATTGATGAACAGATTAACCTTCTATTAGGTTTGTGTTGAGTCTGGATACTGTATGCCGAGCGCTGACGTCTTCTACATAGCTCACGGCAGAGCTATGGACGTTTTCACACTTGCATATTGGATGAATTTGCCTTTGGCCTACATGGGTATGATTAGACCTTAAGCAGGACATTCGGGAGGTGGGACAGTAACCTGTTCGATGGCAAAGAAAATGGTCAAGATAGAGCAGTTACTTCCACGAGAAGCAAAAGCCTATGCTCATGCTTTTATTAGCCTATGCATTGCGAAAGCCCCATATATTTTTAAATCTCTTCAGCAGTATCTGTGTGGCCCTTTTCCAGTGCATTTTCCTATATATATATATATCCGTCGTGTCGTTTTCATGAGACCCTTCCTGAATGCCATTTACGCTATGTATAGCGAACTGATTTTTTCCGCCTGCCCACGTATCGGTTTTTAGGTAGTTTGCTTTTGGCTCGTAGTATCATGGGGGCCTTTAGGGGATCCTACCTTTTCAATGCGCTTATGGGAGCCAAGAGGTCACTGGTAGCCTGTTGATGCTTGAATGGAAAGTGATTAGGTAGAATGCATGTTTTGACCATTGGCGGAAGTATAGTAAAAAGTAAATAGAGCACAGCAGCTTGCTTGGTAATGCGCCTCTAGATATGCAGTTTGAATAGCCCAAAGGCTTTTCCTAAGCGTGCACAAACAAAAATATGGACTTCAAAGACGAACGTGGGGCATTAAGGCGTAGTGAGTTACTGAGGTGTCCCTTGCCTTCATAGCCAGTGGCTACCAGGGATTTGGGATTTGGGCCATCCGACGCGGAGTGCGGAGTCTAAACTCTTTCATAGACTAAAAAGTATTAGACTGGTAGAAGCAACTGGAAAATAAGAAGGCACAGACTTTGGGTTCCTTGCATGATTCTTGAGCCCTGTGGTGATGGTAGCCATCGCTCCCCAGCAACTTCCACGAGGAAATACAGCATAAAACTAGACACCAAAGCTGTATTATGTATGTATTCGAGCAAGCAAACAAAAAGTAATGCTTATAAACCGCATTTATCTCACTGTATTCTCCGTTTTGGGGGGCTAGACCTCCATCTCGACAGCTGCAGCTATCTATTATCGAGGCCACATAGGACTCCTGTGGCTTGTTGCTCTTCCCAGTTTCCTTCGGCAAAGGAACTGATCCTGTGTCTTCTCGTCCCTTTCAGTGTAGGGACACGCTAGGCTTCTTTCTACACCCTTGCCTAAGCCTGTGAGCAAATGCAGCAGGAAAAGCCGCAGGTGCTGCCGCAAGGAACGGAGCGCAAGTGGCTCGCTGTTTTCAGTTTCTTCCTACGTATGTGCATTTTCATGTGACTTTTCTCTCCTGACGAGTCAAAGATTTACCTGCTCCACGTTTCTTGCTTCAGTAGGACCCACCAGATGACCTCAAGGCTCCTGAGATATTGAAGGTACAGAGAAGGCAGTGGCAACAACAGCATCACCTTTTGAAGCAGCAGTACGCTGAAGGTCGCGGAGTTTTCTTAGTGGCGGCAGATCAGGCACCAGCGCCCGCAGTTGGGGCAACAGTGGTTTGATACATCCTGATGAAACTCCTCAGATGTTTTGCTGCAGCTGCAGCAGCCGGTGCTGCAGGCACTGCAGCAGCTGCTGCTGCGGCTACTGAAACAGCACAGCCAGAGGAACCTTTTCCTGCAGCAGCTGTACAGTTGTCAATGAGAACAGCGGCAGCGGAGGCAGAAGCGGAGGACTCGTTGTTTCTGGAATCCAACTGTCCTACATACCCGAACCCGGACTCAGAATTTGAGAAGGTGCACAGCCAGCAGGCTTATATGCGTGCTACGGCAATCCCTGCTGTTTGGACCTTGCTGGTGTTGCAAACATATGATGCTGCTCCAGACATTCTGGCTGCCCCTAGAGGGAAACTCTTGTGCTACTGCTCCTGCTGCTGCTACATGAACTACACCGTTCGCCGCTGCTGCCGCTGAACCTTTGCATGCTCATTGTCGTTTTCTTTGCTCCTGACGCAGGCTGTTTCTCTGGCGCGCTTGGAAGAGGCCTTCCGGCGCCTTCCCTCTGGCGGCTCCTACGGGGGAATGCCTCTGGGCACGAGTGGTCCCAACGGGGAGAGCGCTGCTTCTACTGTACATCGCCATATTGCCTGTGCGCTGACGCTTCATCAGGACTTCGCGGGAGTCTTCTCCGGAGGCGGTGAGAGGGGGAGGCTGCGAGCTGGAGCACCGCGATATATACTTAGACAGCCGGCGCGCTAGCCCACCTGATCAGATGCCGCGTTAACGCTGGCTAGACCTAGACCACGGAGAGTCTAAAGTTGAGATCGCTTCTGTTGCTCTTTAGTTTGGCCGGTGCTGCGGCTTCTGCCAGTCTCCGAACCTTTCCTATTTCCTGCCTCGCTCACGATGGTGCTTGTAGTGAACGCTGCGTATCTGACTATTTCTGTGCGGTGCTGTGTCTGGATTCATGGGCTCAGCAAGGACCCCCTCAGGCACCGGGCTCTTTACCGCATTGCAGGAGTTTTCAGCATTCCTAACCTCTGCACTTCTGAAGACCAACTTCTTCCGTTCTTTCGAAAAGTCGACACACATGAGGTACTGGAATTATTCATTGCAGAGATAGACAGATGGAGAAGTACGCATAGCAAACACCTTTGTACTTTTGCTCTGTTAAGGCGTCTGTCGTTGCAACTATGGGGTTTCATGTTATCGGGAGTTTCCCTGTGTCATTTCTCTGTGTCCCGTGTGTGTAAGACTAGGGATGTCGCAGTTACACCTGCGCCGGTGGATCTGTGTACGCGAAGCCTTTGTCTCTTTTTCAGTGCTTATTAGATGAAATTCAGTTCAGTAGTACCTCTCGACATCTGTGCAATGCGCAACTACATCTATAAACAGTGGCGTGTGGCTTAGTGTACAATGTGTCTAGAGGTGCTGTAATTTCAAGTCTTGCCCACCTTTGACGGAGAGTAAGGTCACTAGGCCCACAGTTTCAATGATATGCCTCTTTTATGCGCAGACATTGTGAAGAAGTAGAAGATGCGCCTTGCGCAGAAGGCGTGACCTATCACCCGCGCGGGCCGTCAGGGGTCAGCCAGACGACCTGATATTTTTTCGCCTCTTACATCCTATGCTGCATGCTTGCTGTTGCTGAGCTATGAAGCTTTACGGCCTGGAGTAGCCTCCTCGTGCTCTCCCACTTATCAGCTGCTCCTTCATGTTATCTTCTTCTCTGTGTTCATGCTTAGATTCTCTTGTTAGCTCTTACATTGCTCCTCTTTCGAATGTGTGAGCGGGGGAAGCGAGATAGCGACTGTGAGGTGTCTACAACACTGTTTTCTTATAACTGTGCCTAGTTGGCCGTGTCGGTGTGCTTCTGCAGATCGAGGGAAACAAAGCTTATGCGGCCTTTGGAGATTTCGCGTTTGGAGATAGGAGCAAGCTTCTTACGCGCCCGGATCTCCTGGGAAGGCAGGATGTGGCTGCATGGGTTGCTGCCCTGTGGCATTGGACGCGAGAACGCCCGTGAGCTGCATTGGCTTTAAAGTTGATCCTTAGCGCCTGCCACGGGCAACGTTACATCGTCATGCTGGCACTTTTTGACTGAAGATGTGTATGCCTTTTCACATAAACCCCCCATGTTGGCTTCTACGCATTCGCTTCGCCGCTTCCGTTCGCCTCCCTCTGTCTCCCCTTCAATTGCACCGCTTCAGTGCCTGTCTACGCCCGTGTTCTTCCTTTACTGACCAGTGGTACTGCCATGCGCTTGGCTGTCCGCATGCTCTCGTATTGGGGCGTCTGTATCTCATTAGTGTTTTGCTAGTTCACGTACGCCTCTTCATATGCTTCTTTGCTTCTGACGCAGCTATGGATATGACTGCGAGCACTGGCCCTTAGGTCGAGGAATGGTTTCACCTCACCGCGCTATGCAGAGCTGGGACAGCTCTCTCCCTGCAGCAGAAGTAACGCCCTTGCTTCAGGCGGTCAAGGACTACCCAACCGACGAACCCTCTTTAGCTGCAGTAGCAACGCCCTTTGGAGGATTGGGTCTCGCTCTGTCCGTGATCCTCGGAGAAGCTGCATGCTGCCCTCCAGCTGTCGGGGCCCTTCGACGATCCCAGGAAGTCCCACAGACCACAAGGCAGCAATGGGTTACTCCCCATAAGGTAGACGAGACATCTACGTTGCTCCTTCCGGCTGATTCTGCTGGCCAGCAGACGCAGCAGGAGCAGCTTCGACAGCAACAAGAGCAAAAGCAATTCGTGCATGGGGGCCTGCCGCCTGCGATACCAGGAAGGGAACAGGCTGCTCGCTTTGACGCCATCCTGGCGGGAAAGGCTGTGTTTTTGGAGCAAGAGGCAACGGCAGAGGGTGTAGCTCCTGTTTTAGGGGCCGGAGCTCCTGGGGCTCCATTCTCAGCAATACCGCTGTCTCGTGTACTGCTACCCATAAACGGCCCCCAAGAGAATGGTTCTGAATCTCCCGTATCGCCTCTGACCGCTGCAGCATTTGAGGGCTTATTTCTGTCTCTTCTGTCCTTGCTTTTGCCCCCCAAACCTATCGCTCCACAGCCAGATACAGGCGATACCGCCAACGAAGGCCTAGCGATTCCAAACCCTCTTGCTCCCCAGGCCACTCTGCCCCTTCCGGGGGCCCGTGACTGCATCGGGGTCTTTCTACCGGAGGACGGAGAGGCACCTGGACCAGAGACGGAAGCCTTGATGCCCTTCAGGCGCTTCTGCTTCTCCCTTACGCGTGGCTGCCCGGCCCTTAGTGGATGGGGCTCTCCTGAAGCGGCATCTCAGGGTGATTTGAAGGAAGAGACCGAAGAAGGAATGAGGCTCACAGCGGCAGATACCTTGGACTGCAGATTTAGCTGCTATGCAGCAAATGACGCAGCGGTCGCTGCACGTGGAGAAGCCCCCTCAGCCGCTGCTGCTCCCGCTGTATTGGAGGAAGAGGGAACGTACATCAGTAAGAAGGGCATTGGCTGCGCTTTCATCTGTCCGTGAAATTGAAAGAGCAGGCGGCGTGGGCAAGGCGTGTTATGAACTGTTTGTTGGAGAGGGTGGTACACGCGCAGGAAAGAGGCTCTATGGGGCAAGGAATCAGGAGAAGTAAAAGAGCAACTACTCTTCGAGAATGCAACGTTTCAATCGACGTTGTCTAGGAAAAGCTCATCTACAGGTCTATAAAAAATATCTTGGCTGCGTCGGTCACGCCTACCACCATTCTCTTGGGTGGCGCTGTACGGTTTTCTTAGGGTCTATGCTTCCAGCTGGACTTCCGCTTTGACAGGGAAGTGAGAACTGAGCATAGGGTCGCTAAGGGCACCGGAGCCTGTGACATGGAAGCAACTAGCAGCCTGCAATTGTACGCTCTGCAGTTGCTGCTACGAGTAACCGGCACTAGCTGTGCCTTGTTCTTCCGCAGCGAAACGTACATATGTTCTTTTGCTGGCAGACACTTAAACCGAATTCGTTATACTTGAACCTGAGTGTGGTTGCTCATGGTAGTGAGCCCCTCTAGTTAAGGAGTGGCCGTGCGATGCAGGCCTGGAAACCCATAGCAGCACAACAATGGTGTCTCAAGGTTCTGGTTTGCACTGCATGGACGTTCAGCTCTTGAGGCTCCCATGTAGAGGCAGTACGCACAAAAAGGCGGATAAGGGGCCAACAGTTGTGGCACAGGGTGCATAAGGCCTTGCGGCTCGAGAGTTAGATGCTTGGGGGCTATGCTTCACGATGGTAATTGAGGGAGTTAATCCGGATAAAAGACTCATTGGATTGGGCCCTCAATTTCAAAAGTGAATACTTCCTAATATTTGTCATTCAAGGTTCTGGGTTTACGGTCAAGTGTCCACAGCCCACTGGAACTTTCTAATGAGGACTTTAGAATGTTTACCGGAACCACTGGTATATGCTGACAGCTAACACCCGAATTAGTCGGAGTATCACCTCCCTTTATTTCTTTTAATGATCTGAATAGAGCCAATTAATGAGCACCGGAAAATTATGGCGGTGTACTGCTGCTCGAGTGGCTCGCATATGAAGGGCTGCGAGCATCGACGACGCCGCCCAAGCTGGCTAGAGGGTTCCATACTATTATCCCTGAATCGTGGACCCTGGCTTCTCATACCCATTTCCGCACGCAGTGGTGAGCTGTCCTTGTTTTCCTTTGAGTGGCTTCAGACCGCATGCTAAATACCCGATTTCTTGAGCTGGCTCTCCAGCCAGCCGTCAGGTCTCATGACTCTCTGAAGCAGCAGAATGAGATCCTTTCCAATTTTGGGGCCAGCACTGATTGAATTAGCAAGAAACGAACCAGTGGCGCTGTCCTACTAGTTGATGGAACAAAACAGGAGGACCGTCTTGCTGCAACGGTGCCGCTGCCGATAAAAGTGCATGGCAACTAGTTCTCACTTCCCGCAATCCCAAGAATTCCTGAGCTGTCGACGTAGCTGACTTTGCGTTCTCATCGTTTTGTGAGAATCCGTTCTACAGCAAGAGCTGCAGCCGCTGCTCTTGTGAGTGCTGGTGCATCGTCGAGTCCTTCGCTCGCCGTGACATCAGAGTACTTATGAAGACGCTTTCCCATCGCTTTCCCTGTTGCTGTAAGCAGCGGCTGCAAGTTGTCCTTGACGCGAGTGGATTCCAGTGTGTCTTCTTAGCTTAACCAGAGAAACCCCTATCCCCTGTCAATCTCGTGAAACCCTTTTTCCTTTTAACTGCACTTATTGCTGCTCCCTTGGGGGCTACGGCGGCAGCGCTTGTCTTTCCGCACAATACACACCTTGGTCTATTTGTTGCACTGGCACCAATGCCACTCCACATTGTAAAGAGTTGTGGCATTGTGGTGCTGTCGTTGCTGCTGAGCCCCTGCACACAACAGCAACCCTTCACAAGCAGCAGCTTGCTGGTAGGTGCGTTCATCCACGGTTCTGTGCCGATTTTGGAAGCAGAGCAACGGCACCAACAATACTGTGACGAATACCCAGCAGCAACCGCAGCTGCAGCCGGCCAGACAGCACCTCCTTGCGCCAGGAGGAGCCGTCCCTACTCTGCAGGTGCCACCACAACAAACGAGACCCTCGAAAACCACTTCTCCTTGATAGCAGCAACGGTGTCGTTGGGGCCTGGCCGGCTTTCAGGCGAGTTACAAGCCACGCGCGAGGAGGGTTTGAAGCCGTACGCGCGGGTGTTACAGCGGTTGGATCGAGACAGGGATGGCGTGTTGTCCCTCAGGGAGACAGCTAGGCTCATCAGGGTTACTCTAGGAGAGGCTACAGACATCCCTATCACTGCGACATATGTCAAACGACTGCTAGCCTCGCTTCGTATTCCGTTGTCAACGCCAAAGCATCATGGTCCGCTGCAGCAGCACCAAGAGACACTCGCCCTGCCTCAGGTAATGCGGCTCTTGCAGCTCACAGCTGGTAGCCACACTGTCAGCTCTGCCGCAGTGGATGGCCTGCTAGCTCTAGATGCCGTCTCGTTTGCTCTGCAGCAAGAGGCACCTTCGTGGCATGCACTCTATGAGACAGCAACAGCATCAGCGGAAGCAGAAATAAGACTCCATGTAACGAACCTCGTTAATGAGTACGCTCTTGAAGCGTCACAAGTGTACGCAGAGGGTATTCCCTACCTCAGAGCGCTTCTTAAGCACAGTGCGCCATTGAGGGAGAAGTTACTGGAGAACCTTGGCCACCAACTGGCCGCGAAGGAACCACTACCTAGGCTGGCACCTAGTGAAGCCTTGATTCGCGTCAAAGCGACTGCGCACCTCCAAGAGATAGTACCTCAGCTCGTTATGGAAATGTCAACAGGGATCAGTCAAAATATGAACAAGCACAGCACGAGCACCCAACACGGCGTGAGCGTCGAGGCGATTGAAATGATGCTAGCACGGCTGGTGCGCCAGGCGGAGGCATTTTTCCTCTTTGCAGTCACAGACGCAGACGGTAACGGCAGTCTAGACATGTCGGAGTTCCTTTCTGTACTCCTGGTGCAGCAGCTCCACATGCAGCAACTGGTCCAGGCAGCAGTTGCTCCTCAACACCAGAGCATTCCAGTGATGGAGACTCCCTGGGTTGGGGAATTAGCTGCGGGGTGGCTCGAAGCGCCGCAGTTGCGACAGCAACAGATGCCTTTTGTGTCGCGTATGCTGTTTACTGCGGCGGACGTGGACCAAGATAGCCGCATCCCCTACGAAGAGTTTCTGAGTTTCCTTGATCAACAAGACCTATTAGTCAGCACAGCAGTGCAGCTCTTCAACGCGAGAGCAGCAGTGCTCTACCTCTAATGTGGTAGCCTCGGCAAGCATTAGAGATGCCAACTGAAGTGAAGACCCTTTTTACGGTTCTTTGGGCGTATTTTCTCCAGCACGAGCTTACCTCCTAGAAGAGCGCGCGTTGATTGCTTCCAGCACAGAGCTCCTGTTACTGGACAACAGTGCCAGAAGCCATCACAGCTGTTGCTGGAAAATATACAGACCCGTTTTATGGTTTTGCCGATGGAAGCAGAGAACAAAGGCATAATGAATTTAAAGGGAGTGCGTTTGCGTATATGCTTCTGCTCCTCCACGACCAATCACACCATCGAAGGCGACAACAGCAATTACCGCTGTGCTAGGTGCGTGCGGTGGGATGTACCGCATTTCTTAGCATTTTGTTTGGCTTCGGTGGGGATTTGCTTTAGTCCGCTACTGTGCTGCCTCTACGTCTGCCATGCCAGAGGCAAGGACACGCATGTGTTGTTTCCCCGGCAAGGAAGCTGCGAGGCACGGCGAGGGCCATACGGTTAACACTGCTACCGACCCACACTTTTGTTTCAAACGTCTAATTTTACGCTGTCATACTTGCAGTTACGACATGTTCGCAGAACAGACGCAGCAACGACTAACTCGCCTTTGCTTCACTAATTTGCTCTAATATGTGGCAGGGAGATTAGCATTCTGTGGCTGCATTTACTTGTCTATTATTTGTTTCTCTTACTGCCTGTTGCCTTCCACTTTCAGCCTCATAAATACGTGCTGTTCTATCTGTACCTGCTCTATTTTTATCTCACGGCTTCTACACACTTGCTGGAACCCGCTTCCTACTCCCCTGGATCAGAGACTGCACTTCTTGTTGCGTTTTCTGTGCGTCCCACGTTCAATCTCTCCCTTAAGAGCACACGAGCTGCCGCCTCCGAGCCTTCTTGTCTCTACGCGCTACGTTGCCTTACGGTTTACTGTAAAGGGGCCGTGATAGTTTTCGAGGTATGCCTGCAGTTGAAACCGGTAAAATGCCATCTGTTGCAGCAGCAGGTGCTGCTGTTGCTCCTACTGCCTAGTACAATACAATGTTTCCGCCTAAAAACGTACGTGTCTACAGAGCTTGCAACTGGCATATCGCTGCAGGTGCACCGGCGTTCGCCGCCACAGAAGCAGCGCTAGCGCTGCAGTTGCCACTACCACAGCAGACGCCGGCCCACTGCTACACCAGCAGAGCGCAGCAAAACGCACAAGCGCTCTGTAACGCAACGCATTCAGCTGGTGCTGTTGAGCGCGCGAGTGAGAGACTGCAGGTGCAGCACCGGCAGAGGTGCAACTGTTGCATAGAAAGCCGTTGCTGCTACTATTTCAAAAAAATACTGCAGTAAACACTGCAGCCGTCACCGCTGCCGGCGCAGCCGATAGATGGCCACAGCAAGTTAAAGAAGCGCTTGCTCTCCAGCATCGTGCGTCACATCAGTAGGGACGTGCTGCAGCAGCCCAACAAGCCACCATGGCTGGGTCTCAACAAGCGGCTTCGCGAAGGGAGACAGTCGCCTGATTTCTTCAATGAGAGATTCTTCGCTGTAGCTTGTCGCGAATACTGCAAGGGGGACGCACAACCCCGTACGCTTCTGCAACTCCTGCTGAAGCTTCTTCCAATAGCGCTGCTGCTGCCGCTGCTGGAGCGCTTGCTGCTGGTGCTTGAAGCGCCAGAATGTCGTGTCGCCCCCAGCCACGGCAGCCAGCGCCGCCGCTAGGTGCCTCTGCAGCGCATGCGTAGCGTGTCTCTTCCAAATGCCTCTCTTAAGGCCCGTGTAGAAGGCATCAAACACGAAGAGACCCGCCAGGAGGTTAAGGGGCAGCAGCAGAAACACAGGAAACAACAGCAAAAGGAGAAACAGTAGCAGTTGTGTCACCGCCTCGCTGCGCCAGCAAAGCAGATTCAGCAGCCGCTCAAGGAAAGACACGGAGTTCCACACAAAGTCAAGCAGCTTCTCCACAGCCTCCCTCAATTCCCTGTAGGTAGCAAATACGTCCAAGGCGCTGCTGCTCCTGCTACTACTCTCCAGGCCACTGGTGCTGGGCTTCTTCATGGTGCTGCTGTTTCGGCTATCGCTTTCACGGTGCTGGTGCTGCAACGTGCCTGCCGATACTGCTATTGCACGCGCTGCTGCACTTCCCGTCATAATGCTTCCCTGGGCAGCTGCAGCAGCTGCAGCTGCTGCCGCTGCACCAGGCATTGCAGCGGCTTTTTTCTGGGAAGCGTTTCTGCACACCCGTGAAGTATACTGCACCCGAATAGGCGTTGCAGCAACGGGAGCTGAAGCAGCAGCAGCAGCTGCCGCTGCTGCAGCACGGCCCTGTAGCACTTTGCTGCAGCAATACGCGCACAAACCCTGGGGAGATCCTCCGATGCTAGGTGTACAGGCGCTTGTCTCAGAGGCAGCCCAGTTGCTCTGCACCATCTGCTGAAGCAGCGAAGCAGCACTAGGGGAGCTGACGCCTATAGGTACTGTCATTGTGGTGAAGAAGGTTCCGATACTGCTATATGGATCTAGGAGCAGCAGCGATTCTGCAGAAGCTTCACGCATGTCTTCAGTCACTGCTGCGCTCCTTGCTGCAGCCGCCACCGCTGCTGCTGCTGCTGCCTCCCTGAGGGCTTCCTGGGAGAGGCTCAAGCCACACTGAACACAGAAAGGGAGAGCAGGCGGTACAACCCCCAAAGGAGCTTCCGGATGCAAACGCAGGTGCAGCAAATTCTGCCAGGACCAGCGCTGCTGCTGCTGCCGACTCTGGTGATGCAGCCACAACTTTTCCTCTGCCCGATGGAGGCGGCACACATCGCGCTCTATTTCCTGATCTTGTAACTGTTGGGGGCTCAGCAGTTGCTGCTCCTGTTGCAAAACAATTGCTGCGGCAGACGTAGGACTAATGCGCTGCAAAGGATGCAGGAACTGCACCAGATCCTCCTCAGGCGCCCTTTCCTGGCGCTGCTCACGTCCTTCATCTTCGCATGGCGGGAGGGGCGCAGTGGGGTGGTTGTGGTGCACTTGCTGCACGCTTTGTCGCAACTGTTCCTCTTGTGCTGGTGTCTGCTGCTGCTGCAGTTGCTGCTGCTGCCGTTGCTGCAACGCCTCAGCAACAGATAAAGTCGAGAAAGGCTCCTCCACCTCAGGCACACCAAGAAGTTCAAACCAGAATCCTCTCAGCCCACCGCTGCCGCTGGCATCTCCAGAAACAGCAGCAGCAGCAGCAGGTTCACGGGGAGCTGCAGCTGACGACCCTACTGCTGGTGGAGTGACGTCACTGGCGTCTGCTGCCCTCACAGAAAAAGACGCAGCATGAGGGCTGCCACTGCCGCCAGCATTTTCAAAGCTTGACGGTACGGATGCTGCTTTTTCTGCTGGCGCATGCCCTGCTGACACAGCACCTCCAGTTGCCGCAGCGACATCTGAAGCTGCAGAAAACGAGAGGGCGTGCAGTGCAACATTAACCTGCTCCCGAAGGGTATGTGCTGCCGTGCTGTTCGACTGGCACGCACTTTCTCCTGCATCTACAAGTCTGTCGGCAACTGCTGCTGCCGTAGAAGCTGTTTGAGTTAATGCCGTTGTCTTGTTGTGCTCCTTTGCTTTGCAAGGCGCTTCTCCTGCATGGGCATGTGGCGCTGCCGTCTTGTCAGCCCCTGCAGTAAGAGGGGCAGAGTCATCTGCAAGCACGTGTGTGCTGTCATCTGCTTGTGAACTGTTTTCCCTTGCTGCTGCTGCTGCTGTAAGCGTGCTTGTTGGTGCGGCGGCAGCAGTGTCACCTGCTGCTGTTGAGGCATTTCCATTCGCTGCTGTAGCGGCATTGCCTTCTGCTGCGGCAGAAGTTTCTGCTGCATCATCGGGAGTCTCATCTGCTGCACCCTTGCCATCTTCTGTCGCATCGGTGGCGTCCGAAGCTGTGAATCTGCCGTCGGCTGGTGCAGCTATATCGTCACCTGCTGCTGTAGCTGTACAAGTCGCCGCTGCTGATGAGCATTCGTGTACTGTAACCATGTGTTCTGATGGTGCACCTATGCCATCTCCTGCTGCAGCTGCGGTATCTGCTGCATCACATGTGTTTCCGTCTGCTGGAATTGTGTCATTTGCTGCCACATCTGCGGGATCATCTGCTGCTGAAGCTGCGTCATTTTCTGCTGCAGATGCGTCATTTTCTGCTGCAGATGCGGAGTCGACTGTTGCAGGTACGTCATCTTTCGTTGCAGCTGCGACATCGTCTGCTGCTGATGCGCCCCCAAATACTGCAGCTGTGCTATTTGTTGGCGTGGCTATGCCCTGCTTTTCTGTATCTGAGTCACCTGCTACTGCTGCTACTGCTGCTGCAGATGTTTCATCTTGTCCAGCATGTACGTCATTTTCTGCTGCAGCTGTGGCATACGCTGCTTCATCTGCATCATCGGCTGCAGCAACTGCGTCATCTGAGTCATCTGCTTTGGCTTCTGTGTCTCCTATTGCTGCTGATGAGCTATCTGCTGCTGGTGCAGATGTGCTATCTGCTGCTGATGCTGGTGCAGTTGCGCCATCTGCCGCTACAGCTATGTCACCTATTGCTGCTGCTGCTGCTGATGCTTCACCTATTGCTTCAGATATGTCATCTGCTGCTTTTTCTGATGTGCTCTCTGCTGCTGCTGTTGATGTATTATCTGCTCCTGCTGCTGATGTGGTATCCGCTGCTGCTCCTGCTGCTGTGGTATCTGCTGCTGCTCCTGCTGCTGATGTATTATCTGCTGCTGTTAATGTATTATCTGCTCCTGCTGCTGATGTGGTATCCGCTGCTGCTCCTGCTGCTGGCGTGATATCTGCTGCTGCTGTTGATGTATTATCTGCTCCTGCTGCTGATGTGGTATCTGCTGCTGCTCCTGCTGCTGGCGTGCCTTTATCTGTTGCTGCTGCTATGTCACCTGCTACCCCTGCTGGTGTTTCATCTGCTGCTGTTGTGCCTTTATCTGCTGCAACCATGTAATCTGCTGCCGCACGTGCTCTATCGGCTGCCGCAGTTTCATCATTTGACATCGAAGAAAGGGCACCTTCAGTCTCACATCTTTCTGCTGCTGTTGCTGCTCTTCGAAGGTCCTCGTTGAACTCTCCCAACGTAGCAGAGCCACGCGAAGGAGCAGCTGCTATGGCAGCACCTGAGTGCTGTTGATTGTACCCCCTTCTGCTGGTGATTGCCAGTTGGTTTGCTCTTGCCGCGGAAGCGTGTGCGTGTGTGAAGTAATCGTCTTCTAAACAGTAGGGGAGACTCCAGAGGGTCTGCAGCTGCGGTGGATTCTGCTGCTGTTGGTGTTGCTGCTGCTGTTGGTGTTGCTGCTGCTGTTGGCGTTGCTGCTGCTGTTGGTGTTGCTGCTGCTGTTGGTGTTGCTGATGCGGTTGGCGTTGCTGATGCGGTTGGTGTTGCTGTTGTTGCTGTTGTTCCGGTTGTGCGGTAGGTCGAGGGGAATGGAAGGCGTGAGTGCGTAGCTTCTTTCCAATCCAAGCTGAAGCAAATCTTGCTGCCTCTACAAGGGCTATCTTCTTTGGCAGGGTTCTGCTACCATTGCGGCTGCTGCTGCTGCTCACGCTTCCGCGTCGGACGCCGAAAGGAGAGTTCTCGAGGGTCGATCTCTCAGTGCCTTTTGCCTGACTCTGCATTTGCAGCAGCCGCTGCCGCTGCAAATGCCGCTGTGGCACTTGAGTACCCCTGCCTTTCCCACGCATGTTGCACTCAGAAGGCGTCCCTCCTTCGCGCTCCCCCACCTGCTGCTGCTGCTGCTTGTTCCTCTGCTGCTGCTGCAGTCGTACCCCATGAGCGCCTCTGTTGCTGGCAGCAGCCTGAGGCGGCCTCCATCTGGAAAAAAATGGCACAGGGAGGTATCGGGAAGTACCACAACACGCCAAGCCGCATCAAGCAGCAGCAACACCACGACGCAGCAAGATGAAAAGCTCGCGTTTCTCCGTGGTTCGTGCTGCACCTCTACTACCAGATTTTTCACAGTATCTGTATATATGTATATATATATATAGGTATGTATATCTATATCTCATCCAATATCGCTACCTCCATCCTGCCCAGCCCCCTATGTGCAGCAGCAAGAGCAGAACAGCCACCGCGGCTTACGTGCGCCTCCGAACGTCAGTGCTTGGAGCCTCTTTCGCCAACCATGGCCCCTTGAGGCTATCACCGTAAGTCCATCCCGATGCGTCTGTGCGCTTGGAGAGTTCAACAACAAAGCCCGCCGCGGCTGCTTCCGCTTCGCTCTGAGGTTGCTGCTGCAGAGGCTCCTGCCCCTCACCAGCTGCACCCTCAGCTATCGGAAAAAAGCAGCTCCCCTTGAAGTCGCCTGTCGGAGTCCGGCTTTGCGCTTCAATCAAGTGGCAAGCGATAAGGCCACTCCTCCCGACCCCTTCTTTACCAGCTTCCACCTCTAATGCCGCTTCCGCAGCTTCTGGTGCTGCTTCCGTAGCTTCTGGCGCTGCTTCCGCAGCTTCTGGCGCTGCTTCCGCAGCTTCTGGCGCTGCTTCCGCAGCTTCTGGCGCTGCTTCTGTTGTCATTTTGAGGGCTGCCCCTGGAGAAGTGTACAGTGCTGCTGCTGATTGAGAAGCTCGCTCTGAGAGGAGTAGACGTTCCTCGCCTCGCTTCGTCTGCTGCTGCACCGCTGCAGTGCAGCTGACGCATTGGCTGGCAGTCGCTGAGAGGAGCTGCATCGCAAGGGGCCTGAGGCTTCCGCCACCCGCTGAGAGGAGCGCAACAAGCTGCAAGCGTTGCATCCACAGCGCCGCCTGCAACAGCAGACGCCACAAGAAGCGACTTGGAGGACTGCTGCTGCTGCATGGCGCGTGCAGTTGCTGCTGCTGATGCAGCGAACGCAAGAAGGGTGCTACCACCCGCATGGGGCCTCCAGCACAACAGGCGACACCGTGGCAGCAGCACCAAAGAGGCTGCGGCTGCTGCACTTTGTCTTCTAGCTCCTTCTGCTTTGACAGAGGACGCAGGCAGTCGTAGTTGCTGCTGCTGCCGGCGTTCGTTGCTGCTTCTGCGGGATATCGCGCTGCAGCCGCTGCTTTCGCTTTGGAGGGTCTTAAAAGCAACAAATGGTGGTGCTGATGGAGCATCAGCAGGACCGCCGCAACAGCGGCAGCACTTGTAGGAGCTGAAGAGCACGTGTTCATCTTGAGGATACTGTCTACACTGTCTGCACTGTCTGCAGCAGGGGCTCCTGCTGCGGAATGCGGTGCTGCAGCTGCAGCAGCAGCAGCAGCAGCAGCCACCTGTCTGGCCACATCTGCGGCAGCTCCTTCCGCTGTTGGACAGTCAAAAAGCAGCAGCGGAAAGGTCCACCGTGGCAATACAAAAATCAGGAGCGGCAGCCGCTCTGCGGCGGCAAGTACTCTCTGTGGTGCTTCCGGGTGTATGAGGAGGAGAAGGAGCAGCAGGGGTAGCAGGAGCAGCAGCAGCATGCCGGCCGCTGTTTGGCTGCTGGCGACTGCGATCAAGTAGAAAAAGGCAGCCAGCGAAACTGCAGGGCTCCCGAACTCGAAAAGGCATCCCAGTTGCTGCATTGCTGCCGCCATCCGCCGATGAATGCGCTGGAGCCGCTTCAACTGCAATCCGAGCAGCTGAAGAGGCGCCAAGGCACCCGCGTCTGCTGCTGCCCCTTCTCCAGGAGCTAAGGCGATGTGAGCGAAAGGCTGCGGGATGTCGAAAACTTCAGGCTTGTACTGCAGCAAGTTAACCCATGAGGCACCGCACATTGCAGCTTCCAGAACTAGCGTTGCACTGTGTGGTGCAGGCGTCGAGACAACGGCAGAAGTATCTGCTGCTGCAGCTGCTGCTGCTGCTGCTGCTGCTGCTGCTGTGTGGCCCACAGCTGGAGCTGCTTCTTCGAGCACACCCGCAGCAGCCTCCTTCGGATACGGGGTGGCTAGCCGCTGCTGCTGGTCTCGCAGCTCATCCTGCTGCTCACGCTGCACGCACTGTTGCTCCTTGACAAGCTGCTTTGCTGCTGCAGCTGCTGCTGCTCCGCGCGAGAAGGCCCTGCCTCTTCGCCAGGCTCCTGAAGATGCGGAGGCAGCGGCGGCGATTGCGGCCGGAGGAATTGTTTTGCATTTATCCAGCAGCGGATGCTTCGCTGTTGCTACCGGAGAGCCGCTGAGCTGCAGCAGTCGCCAGGTTCCCACACCCAGCTGTTGTTGCTGCAGTCTAAAGCTGCACAGATGATAATCGTTTCCACTCCCCACGCGAATGGACAGGCAAGCGGCGCTTGCAGAACCAGCCGCCGCCGCTGCTGCTGCTTCTGCTGCGACTACGGAGGCACTTGCTCCTTCCACGTGCGAGGCCGTTGCTGTTGCCGCGCCTACTGTTGCAGGCGCTTCGGAGACTGCAGCGAGGAAGGACTGCCCCGACAGGGATGCAGAAGCACCAAGGCTTCCGTCAAGTGCCCGCTGCGTGATGCCGCCACGGCCCTCGGGTGTACTAGACACAGGAAAGTGCTGCTGCTGCTGCTGCTCTTCCAGAGGCGCAGCAATAAAGTGCAAAATCAAGTCCTCCTGCGGCCGAGGAAAGAAAACAGGAAGATTAACACAGCAAGGGGGCAGCAGCAAGAGCAGCCGGCGGCAGAAGGAAGGGGCAGGCATCGCTGAAGCGCGCCCAAACCACTTCGAAAACAGAGACGGGGAGGGCACAGCTCCTGCCTGCTGGTGCTGTTGCTTCGGCACATGCAGCAAGCTTTGGTGCTGTGGCTGCCTGCTCATTCCAGCGCCAGTTTCTCCCGCATTCGCCTCCCCTGCTGCTGCCGCTGCTGTCGGCGCGACAGAACGCCCTGCGTATACACTGAAGAAGGAAACCGAGGACTGATACTCCACAAGACAGTAAACGCCATACCCCTCGGGCAGCAGCACGTCATGCAAAGCTAGAAGACGCAGGGAAACATATGTCTGGTTTCCCGTTGCTGCCTTTGTGGCTGCTGAGGCTGTTGCCGCTGCGTTTGCTCGTCCTGCTGCTGCACCTACATCGCCGAGAGGGGGAGGCGTAGGCGAGTGCCACGTAGCAACGGGCTGCGCATCGCGTTGCTCGAGCATCGCTTGCTGCACGTGCAGCTGGCGTTGGCTCTCGGGTGCGGCAGCTGCTGCCAACCGCTTGTGCTGCCTACGCGTGGCAGCAAGAGATAGCCACCCCGCAAGAAACAGCCACGCGGGCAAGCCCTCGAGAGGCGTAGACGGGAAGACGGCATACGAACTGCTGTGTAAGTACACCGCAGCAGGACTGCCCAAGTAGCAGCACCTCTCCATCAGCTGAAGCCAGTCATAAGCAACTGTTGCAGCTGAAGCAGCAAAAATGACTTCCTCTGTGCATGCCGCGACGGCCGCTGCTGTCTCCCTTTCCGCTGCAGCGGCCGCTGCAGCAGCCTCAGCAGCGCTCTCGGCAGCAGCAGCAGTAGCTGCCGCCGTTGCAGCAGCTGTAACTGCTTCACTTTGGAGAAGGGCTTCGCCCTCATCGCCACTTGTTTCCTGGTTGTCTGCTGCTGCTGCTGTTGCCGCGGTTGTACTGACTGGCCCTCCAACCGCATTTTCCGCAGCTGCAGCGTCCTCCAGTAAACGTGGAGATAGTGAGGTGAAGGTGTTGCTACATACCACAGCGTGGTGTGGTGGTGCTTGTTGTTGGCGTTGGCTGTTTTTGTTTGTGTGGTGGGGGTGGTAGCTGGGCTGCTGCTGCTGTTGTCGGTGTCTTCCTAGGTGCCTGTGATGCTGCTCTCTGGATGCATGCGTGATGTTGTGCTCCTCCGCCTGCTGCTTCTGCTGCCCATGTGCGCGTCCTTCCTTCTTGTTGGCTAGCGGTCTGGCTTTGCTGTGCTGCTGCTGTCGCTGTTGAAGATGTTGCAAAAGCAGCAAATTGGGAGCCAACAGCGACCATCTGAACGTTCCAGATGCTTTGTCATATCCAAATCTCTCTACTCGACTGCCCTTTAGCTGCCAGCAGCACGTTGCAGCTGCAAAGTCAATCCACGTGGCAGCCACTGTATCGGTAACTATATGGCTGTTGTGGCTGTAGCTGAGTGGACAGGACCGCAGCAAGGGGATACGCTTAAAGGAATACAAGACAGAGTCTTTCAGCACGAAAAAACGAAGGGCGAACCGCTTCGTGTGTCTTGTCTGCCGCTGCAACCAGCCAGCCCTCAGAAACAACAAGCTACTGCTGCCACTATCGAGGTCCTTGCTTCCGTAAGCAGAGGGCGTTGCAGATTGGAAATCAGGAGTTAGGGAGGGTGCGTTTGATGGGAGACACTGTAGAGATGCCGAAGGGTGCTCTTGCACGATTGCTTGTGTGGGTGCTGTGCTCTGTGCTGCTGCTGTTGCTCCCGTTGCTGCTGCTGTTCCTTCCGCCGCTGCCGCCGCTTTTGTCTTATTAGCGGCGTCAGGAGAAGGCTTAGAGGTCACACCCAATGAAGGGACTGTCTGCTGTGCATCTACAGCTACTTCATCTGAATCCTTATCTGCGTCATCTCTTGCGAGCAGCATCCCTAACTCGCTCATTTCTTCCACCTCCGTTGCAGCCAATCTCATGCCTTTGCTGCTGCCTTCATCCTTTTCAAGCATACTGCCCATGGGTGCCCTCGTGTGGTGCCGCTCGTCTTCATCCCCGTCCATGAGTTGCCCTACCCCTGAACCAGCATGGCTGCAGCAGCGAATAGAAAGTGCGTCACCAGTCACTGCGGTTGAAATATGAATTTAAGCAGAGAAAGAGAGATTTCATTGAAATGCGTTGTGTCTATCGAAGTGAGGGCTGCAGCAGCACGAAGAATTCCGTTGCAGCTGCTGACCCGCCAGGTGCAGCGGATACTGCTGCTGCTCCTGCCGGAAGCTTCGGCACACCCAAGAAGGAAGAATTAAGTTTCTCAAAATCCGTTTGATCCATTTGTCATCCATGCCAATCGTATTTTGTGCGCCACCTCTCCTGCACGCTGTTGTCGGCGGCGGCTTGCAGCTCGAGCAGTAGGAAGGTTGCATGCACGGCGCTCTACTGTTTGCCTACAAGCCGCTGCAAAGGGGAGCTAGGCTCTAGCATTGGTGCCTCCGGTAAAACCGCAACTGCCCTAAAAACCTCTGCAGCCGTTTGTTGAGCCTACTGCTCTTACGGCGGGAGGCGCTCGAGTGTGGGGCCTCACCAAAAAAAGGCCGATTCTCCGTGGACAGACGGCGCCATCAGCGGCAGCCTTACAGTATTACCAAGTGCATTGGTGCTAGCGGGGGCAAAACAGGCAAAAGGAACAAGAGCACCCCCCGACGCAGGGCTTTCCTGTGTGTGGGTGTGTCTTTCACAAATGCAGTGTTTTAGCGGTTGGGGAGCAGCCAGGTAAGTCAAACAACGGAGCAAGCTGCAAGCGCAAGCGGCAGGTCAAGAAGCAGACGGAAGAAAGGCGGGCTGCCTAAGCAGACGCGCTCAAGGCGGAGTTGCGGCAACGAATCCATGGCAAAGCACACAAGGCCACGTACAGAAAGACCTGAGGAGGCGAAGCGCACCTGTGGAGGACGTTGCAGGAGCAGGAGAAAAGAGGAGGCAAAGTGTGTCTAGGAGACGCACGCCGAGGAAAATGCGACACATCGCTTGAAGAGGAGGCACTCGAGGCTCCACTTGCTGCCCCGAAACAAGTTCCAGCACCTGTCATGCATTTGTTAGGGCTGCTGCTGTGGCTGCTGCATGTAGCCTATTGCTACGGGAACCGTTTGCCACAAGAAGCGGCCCGAGTCGCTCCTCGCAGCAGCAGCAGATATGCAGCGACGAAAGCACGCGTTGTCAAGGGTTCCCAGTCAACAGCTTTTCTCCTAGCCGCACAAAACGACAACAGCGGCTGGATCAGGTCGCGGTTAGCAGCAGCAGTGCAGGACTGGCCGTCTGCTACTTTCGAACCAAACCGGGAGGCAGTACAGCAACACCACCACCGGGAACGTCTCGCCGCTTGGGGCCGCTCCTCCCTTCACAGCAGCACCAACACCAGCGGGGATCTGCGACTTATGCTGGTGCCACCAGTGCGTTTTGTCGCGGACAGCGGCAGCGGGGGAGTGGCCTTTCAGGTACCAGCAGCTGCCACAGCCAGGTGTCTGTACACCCGAACACTTGTGGGCATCTTTGGCCGCCTCGCTGAGCAGGCCGCTCAGCAGAGCTGGGGTCTTGCACCTTCCCATTACTTTGAGCTTCGGACTGCTGCAGGCACTCCTCCTGCGGCTACGTCTGTCGAAGGAGGGAAAAAGTGTGCTGGTGCAGCCGTGGCAACACAAGCACCTGGCGCGGTATCCACAGCTGCACGCGGAAGCAGAGAAGCGCGAGGTGTTAGGGCACCATGGTACTCCCTGCTACTCCTGAAAGCTGCTCTACTGCAGCACCAGACACGCCGGCAAAAGCGATTCCAACAGCACCAGAAGCACCCGGAGGAGCAACTGGACTTCAGCCTCATACCGCCTTGGCTGCTGCGTGCTGCTGCGGAACTGCTGCGAAGCCCTCAGAACTCCCCTGCCGCCCTCCTGCAGCAGCTGCATGCCCTCTGTCGCCTTGAATCTCCTCCTTCGGAGAAGCAGCTGAAGCAGATACAGCAGTTGCAGCAACAGGCAGCAACAGCAGCAAAAGACCGACGGTCCGAGCGACGCAACGAGTGGCAGCTGCTGCTGCAGTTGCAGCACGTTCGGATATACAGAGACGAGTGGATGTTGCTGCTGCCACTGCTGCCCTTTTGTAGTCCGTTCGAAGCCTTGGAATGCCTCCTTACCCCAGCAGAGAGGGAAACCTTCATTGCGGTGTGGCCCGGTGCCTCATTTTCCGCAGCAGCAGCGGCAGCAGCAGCTACTGCCCTCGCTGATACTGACGCAGCTGCTGCTGCAGCAGCAGAAGCTTCTAAGGCTAACCGTGAAGACACGGAAAGGGCTTTGAGGGTACTCGGGATGTCCGGTGCAGCAACAGCCCTTGCTGCGACTGCTGTCGCAGAGTTACAGTTACTACAGCAGGGCAGTTTTGCAGCAGATGCTGCTAGTGCTGTAGACGAGAGTGACAGTGTTGTACTTGCCAGACCAAATACTGCTACGCTGCAGCAGCACCTGCAGCAGTCGCGGTCATCATACACCCAGCCTCCCGTCGCACTGCCTTTATTGCACCTGCATCAGCAACTTCGTGCCAAACAACAGCTTCTGCTGCATCTGAGGGGTGCAACTCTTGGCAGCCCTGAAGAACTTCCACGTACCACGCTACCAGCACGGTCAGGAGACTGGCAGACACATTGGCTGCAGCAGCTAAATGCTGTTTTTGAGAGGGAGCTTGTTTTAGACACTAGTGCGCTCAGAGCTGCCGCATTCAAGGCGCCTTCAGCGGACGCGGCAGCAGAAGCGGCGGCGAGGGAGGATATCAGCATATGCCCGTCTGTCTCAGCGGCGCTCAATGACGTTTTCGACTGGCTTGCTCACCCACAGCCGTACCAACAGGAACAACACGGAAACAAGAGGTTTGTATCGTACAGCAGCATCAGGGAGCGGCTGCTGCAGGCTGTTGATGGAGAGCCCGACGAGACACTCTTTTTGGAAGATTCCATCCGCTGCCTTCGCAGCAGTCGCAATGCCGGCAGCAGCAGAGAAAGCAGATGTTGCTGGAGTAAGGAAGGAACTGCTGTCGGGGCTGAATAACTGCGCGGTGGTATTGGTCCTCATGCCTCAGGAGCAGTGGTTTAGCCCCTATAGCTGGTGCTGCTGCATTCACGACGATATTCGGCAGACGGCCAAACTTCGTCTCCGTGGGAACTCAGTTGCCATAAGTAACCGCATTGCTGGCTTTGCTAATGATTGCTACAACGTTCAATAAGCCATGCAGACACCAGGTGTGTAGGCAGTATCACTGTGCTAAGTGCGGCTAACCAAGCAGGCACGAAGTTTAGCTTTCACGCTCATTAAAGAGTTAAAAGCTACATTACCCTCTCTTGCAGCCCTTGATCAGCAGACACGCTTAGAGGTAACACAAGACTCGCTGCTAGAGCAGTTTCCACTACCGGACCATGTGCGAAAATGCCTTGCCTAGTGCCCCCGTAGCTGATAGCAGCACCACCAAAAAGAGTGCGTGCTAGTGCTCTGCGTCAGACAGGTCTTTGCCTTACAGAAGGCGGACAAGAACAGGGCAAAGCTGCCAAAAGGCGCAGACAGAGAGCGAGAGAGAAACAAAGAAAAAAAGAACGATAGAAATGCAACGCAAAACAGGGAGGCGCATCGAGGTGCATGGCGGGGCGAAGATACTGTATCAAGCGAACGCAAGCCTGTTCATCCATCACTCCGAGGAGGAGGGAGGTGGCATGTCGACATCTGTAGTGCGTTGCAGCACTCTGAAGTAGAGACGCAGTCGCCTTATCAAGGTCTTCGCTTCGGACAAATCCTGAAGTGACAGAACCAAACGGGCAGCAGCAGCTCTGAGCGTAGCGCAGAAGAACTGAGGCTTAACGCAGGTGTTTGACATGACACTGAGATGCGGAGGCTACGATAGACACACAAACCCCTAGGAGAGTTACGGAGGTGTCGGGCAAAACGTCTGACGAGGGCACATGTAGGGCGTGAAGACAGAGAGAATCGGACAATTCGGCGTTTACATACCTCTAGCATGATGGCTGATGAGAGCTGTGCCTCCAGCTCATCGACGATTTCCTTCACAGTGCTGCAACAGCGCACCCCGACGCCCTCCAAACAACCAGGCACTCCTATAAAAGAAAGGCCACCCAGCTGTGCGAGCGGCTGGAAAAAATTCACTTATACGAATCTATAGGCTCTTCGCAGCCGGCACGATTTCAGCTGCTTCGGATCCTCAGTCCATCTTAAGAGAGTGCTAGCTAACCAGCTACGGACGCAAACGTTGCATCGCGATCCAACAAGTTGGAGATGCACGACTATCGACCTGTATGCGGAGCTAGCTTGTCAGCTGGTGGCCAGCGAGATTCGACAGTGTCTCGCAGTTGCCTAACCAATCACACAGCTCACTATCTAGCTACGCTAACACAACGCATCTCTCTGTGCTCCACCTATCCCGCCAACTGCTTGCGACGAAGGGCAGGGCATGTGAGCATTCTGCCTGCCTCGTGAGTTTGTCGATGTCCTCGCGGCTCTTGCATGCGTCCAACTGTTCATGAATCTGCACCATCAGCAGCAGCGTCGACAGCAGTGGCATCACTATGCACGCCACAAAGAGTAGCACTATGTACGCCACAAACAGCAAGTGCCTACAGCAGTGATGCAACACCACCTCAACAGCCAGAAACAGAGCTACCTGCATAACTTCCACTAGGATTTCTGGGTCATCGATGCGATCGTCCTGAAGGGCAAGCATCAGTGGCAGCAAACGCAGCAGCAGCAACGCGAATCCTGGCAACAATAGCGGCAGCATGAAGCAGGCGAAACGCAGCAGCCGAGTCGATAGCATCAGTGCTGGCGGCGGCGCAGGGTGCTTGGCCTCTGCACTACAGCTCTTGCTTTGTAAAGCAGCATTTCTAGGTTGTCCTCCCACCACAAGAGTGGACAGCGGAAGCAAAGCGGACGGAAGGAGGCAGCCTCCCACCCCCCCACCCCCCCCCCAAAAAAACAACAGAAAAATAATCTGCCATCAGTCCCCATGATCATGGGAGAGCCCACAGAAAAGACGATGCGCAGATGTATTTAATATACAACTATGCATTGCTATAAACATAGCAATACCGTTCCGTCCTGCGAATGTCTTCCTTGGAGGATCAATAGATGCTCTGCCCGCCGTGCGGGGTCTTTCAAGATCTTGAGGGCCTTGGCAATTTGCAATCTGTGATCGTTGCATAGGGCCTTTTCTTCCTAAGGATTTGCGCCACATACGCCAAGAAGCCACACATCGATCTTTCGTGACGGGTGCTTTCTGATTTTCATGGGGGCAAGGCGGTAGCTGCTAGGAGCGATGGGGAGCCTCACACTGCCGTAGAGGCCCTTGCCGCTGATGCTTTCCGCCCTGCAGCGTCTGCGTGGAATGCCTTACCGGCGATTTGTCAATGAGCTTGTCTGGGTGAAGCTTTTGCTGTAGCTGCTTGTAGCGAGCCGTGACGACAGGCAAGTTGACGTCAAAGGACGCAGGCCTAGAGACAGTCCTCCCCCAAAACACAGCAGACAGACGCGGGGTGGATAGGGTGAAATAATGGTGGATGGAAATTGCGGGGGCAGACAGTAGGACAGAGGCACACCCGTGAACACAGCCAAAGGCGGATAATGGTAAACAGGGGCTGACAGATCGCTCTAGCACTACAGCGGAGGCCAGCCAGATAGGATCTTAGATCGCATAGAGGGGGTGCTTTAGAAGCTGCAAGGGCCTTCGTTCGACGCGGAAAGCAGGAGGCACATATCTGGAAAATGTGCACAATTGTTTGAAGATGCACTCAGCATCACACAGTTTCTGCTTATCTTTTAATGTTAGGGTTTAGCATGTACAGATCAAAGATCGCGAAGGCTGAAACAGGTCCATCGCTGGGGTACGTTGGGGGGAGCACAGCGCCGCATCTCTGCAAACGGAAATCAGCAGTGACGGGGTGCCGCCGGCAAATCTGAGGCGAGCAAGCATGAAACTAATTGCAAAGGCAAGCAGAGAGAAGTGGTAAGTTGTAAGACGGAGAAAATGAAAGGCGCAGCAGCGGCATTGTCATGCATGGCGCGAGTAAGAGACACTGGATGTGGAGGGGGGTCGATGCCAAAGCAGAGTGAGTTGCAAAGTAGACAGAGGGCGGGAGAAGACAACCTTAGCGATATAAGTGGGGCAACCGCAAACTGTGCCTATTGTTTCGCACTTTGCAGATGATGCATATTCCCTCAAAGGCTTCTTGGCATTGCATACACATTCTTCCTTGGGCCTTGCTGCTGCTGCTGCTCGATAGGGTTGTATCTTGTCCTTGCAAGTCCTCTTTCACGGGGGTGTTGCGCCGCGGCGTGCTGGTAAAGCACCGTACGCTGGTGCATGGGTAGAAGCAGCCTGGACTGCATTTGCGGTTGCTGCTGTTGCTGGATGCTAGGCGGCAGCAACCGTGCAACCGCATCCAGCTTGCAGCACCTGTGAACTGCGATTGGCGCTTTTCCACCTGCTCTGGCAACAGCTGCTCTGTCTGCCGGAGGGGGAGGGGGTATGTATGGGTAGTCTGTTGCTGGTTATGTGGCTGATAGGCGAACTGAAAGCGCTGCACTGTCGGCGTCTGCCGATATCCCCAGCAGGGCAAGCGCAACGCTCCAGCCTGCATGATGCTGGAAATGCAGCGATTAGGATCCACGTGTTAGGATTCTGAGTGTGTGCCGCGTGCTTGCATGTGTGTCAGTGGTAGCGCGGTGCTGCCATGGAACCCCACACTAGGTGGAGGGAAGAGGAACACGAATGCATAAACAGTTAATCTTGTTGTTATTCCTAAGCGTACCGCTCAGTTTGCCTCTCCCACTGCCCCTGCCAGTGCGTGTGCCCTGCTGTCGACCGGTGGCCCCCCTGCAGCTGGCTGCTGGCATTGCCTCCTTTTCTAACAAAAAACGGTGGAGGACGCGTGAACAATACTAGAAAATACCGAAAAATAGTATTCCGTGGTCAATTATTTCTACTGCATATTCTTGCAATAGATACAGATATAGTGGCCAAGCCTGGAGTGGAAGCAGGGGCAGCGACCTCAGCAAGAGAGTGCCGTCCGCCGCCGTCGGATCAATAAAGAAAGCATCGAAGGATCTGCCTGCAGCCATAGAAGCAGCAGCCGCAAGTGCCGCTCGATTACTTTTGTTTCTTCCTGTCTCGGGTGTTTAATATCTTCGGCTTGTCTTATTTGAGGGCCTGCAACAAAGGATTTAGGAATCGATTTGGGCGCAACTGCACGGTCTTCCCTTTGCCAGCACAGCAAGCCACAGGATTCTCGGGGCATAGGATGTATAATATGTTCGCTTATTGGGCGTGGGGGCTCCCTCTCCCCGCCCCTTAAACACCCTTTTCTTGCCTCCACCTGTCAAAACAAGCTGTATTTCAACTGTGAATTTCCACTTGACGGCGTAGACCCATTGCCTAATACCCGCTGTGACTCCAGCAGTCATAGGCCTTCGAGGGCCACGCTTCCTGCCTTCCGTCTATAGACTACGTATCTCGATAGTGCCAGCAGAAGACCAGACAGAGGGAGCACCCTTCAGCAACAGCTACCGCAAAAGCAACAAAAAGGCATTCGCACCTAGCCCTACACAGCAGCAGCATACGCCACACATGTGTCCCAAGTTGTCATCGCAATCAAAGCAGCAGTGGTATAAGCAGCAGCCGCTCACGAACTGACTAGTCGTAACAGCAGGAGCCATCCTCCAGCACTTCTCCTCCAGCCTAAATTGCATCTGCCGTTCTAGCTACGCCTCTTTTGCACATGGGAACCAACGAATTCGGCTCTTGTGGCTCTTTCTTAGTCCGCTTCTTCCCGCTGCCCTCTCTCGACACAACCCCTCGATTCTGCCTCCCTTCTATTGTCTGTGACAGACCCCGTCAGTAGGCTCGCTATATGCCTCTGGCATACGTTTCTTCCTAAATGCTTTCTTTCTTTATCTCTCTCCTACTTAGCACCTGACCTCACTGGCAGCAGCTGCCCCTACTACCCTCGTCTTGGTCCGATTTTAAACTCCTAAAGCGACGCCATCCCAACATGGCGTCGGGGTATAATTCTCGGAGCTTGTTCTCCGTCAACCTTGAGATTCCCTACGACAAGAACCACCTTTTCAGACTCGTGGGAACCATGACCGCCTTCACCCTGACAGCCATCAATGTCAGCGCTCTTGTATTTTACTATGTACGCACCCCAGAACAACCACATCGCATTTTTTACACATACACGCCCATCAACACACTCAAACAACCTTCTACTCTGGAGAAAAAGAAAGGCCACTCTCCACCGATCTGCAGCGGCGCCTTTCCCTCACTGTCTTTTTGCTTGTCTCTCCCTCTCCCTGTGCATGTATGTATATGTGTACGTATGTGCTCAAGTATGTATGCATGTATGTATGTGTCTGTGTATATATGTATCTATGTGAGTGTGTGCATGTATGCGTATAGACATGTCTGTTTGTGTCTGTCTGCCTTTCATTCCCCATGTTCCCTTAATTCATGCCGCACGACGCTGTTTTGAAGCAGTGACCCTTAAAATGCCTGGAAGCCTCTCTCGTTTTTCGTCTCTTGAGCGCCGCGGCGTCTTCCTGCGTCCTCTTCGGCTGCACCTTGGGCCTGTCACCCTCTTCGCTGGCCTTCTCTTCTTTGACTCTGACTCATTGCTTCACGCAGCCTGTTTTACTCCAGCTGCTCCCACCCGCTCTCACTCGGCAGGCGCTGTTACTCGTTCCCGCGCGGGAGGACTGTTCTTTAGTAATGCGCCTCCTACTGCTGTTTCCTTTCCTCTTTGTGGCCAACGCGTGCACGGCAGTTCGTTCTCTGCGATCGTGGGTTTGCTGCAGTCCACGGATTCCACCGTGGCAGTGAACTCACGGTACGGTCTTCTGTTGGTCGTATTGGTGGAAGGATGGCTTCTCACTTGGTTTCAACTCAAGACGCACCTTTGCAACTACGCAGACAATGTGCGGTTAATCCGGCCTGCTTTCCTTTAGCTGCCGCCAGCGGCTGTCACGTGACAGGCGCTGTTCTTTAGTTGCGCGTGGGAGGACCGTTTTTAAGTGGAATGCTCCTCCAACTGCTGCTGTTTTTTCTCTGTCGGTGGCCTTCACTTTTCTTGACGCTCCTCACATTTCGCCATATTCTTCCCAATTCCTGGTCATGTGTGTCTTCCTCCAGATCGACGCATTCAAAGAATATGAATGGCAGTCCCTCTTCAATGATGCATATGGGGCAGTAGACAGAAGCACCATATGTGAAAATGTCAAGATCATGGTCTTCGTGGCCACTGGCGTCAGTGCATCCTGTTGACGCTCGTTGTGCAGGTTGCTGCTGTTCTCTGTTTGGCCTACTGCTGCCTTCTTCCTTATTTCAAGTTGCACTTTTGCTTATTAGGCGGATCATTGCACTTTGGTTGCTGTGTGTGCTTCTTCTGTGTTGTTGTGGGTGGCCGCTGCCACCATTCGCTGCGCTTTGAGGCTTGTCGTGCTGTTTCTGTTCGTCGATTAATGCTTTCTTCCGCTCGCTGCACGCGCTCTTGCTCTCCCCATTCGCCTCGGATCTTCTCTCCATCGTTCTCTTTGCCTCTCGCCGAACGAGTCTTTCTGCTTCATGTGGGCGGCTCGCAAAAATCTTTGGCTGCGGCCACAGCACGCGGGTTGGGGCTGAGCTTGCGGGTTCTGATTGTGCTGCAGTGTTTGATCGTGTCTCTCGGGTCTTCCCTTTTCGCCTTGATCCTCGCAGTCGTCACACGACATAGAGGCAACCCGGAATTGCGTCCGCAGCAGCACCTCCGTCACTGCGGAATCGCCATTGTAGGGTTAGAGCTTTACTGTATCGACTTTAGAAGTTTGGCCCCCTTTTGCCTTTTGCAGAAGTTGCTCTAACAGAGGGAGGGCCCGTCCTCCCACTATGTAGATGAGAGACGTGCTTCTGATAGGAAGTCGTTGTTTCTGTGCTGTGGTGCAGATGATCATGGGGGCCTGTATGGCGGGGATCATATTACCGCCGATCGTATTCACCTTCATGCTGCCCGATTTTGTGTGAGAGTTGCTTCTGGTGTATTGCTGCTGTCAGTGCTGCTGGCGGGATAGGATTCCCACAGCAACAATATGATGGATGCTCTCACCTGCCATGCTGGTGGCGTGTTTCGTCCTGTTTTGCGGCTGGCTTTCCGGCGGCAGCTCGTGTTGTACGGCGCCTATCTGCAGGGTCTGCATTCCTGTGGTGTTGCTTCCTTCCACTTGGGTGCAGCATGCTAGAAAACACGCCCGTGAGCATTAGGGAAGGCGTTTTTGTCGGGGCCCTCGCGGGCGTGGGAATCATCCCTGCAATCGTAGGGTATCACTTGTAAGCTGCCCCCGCTTTCCCCCCGTCGCCACTGCTGCTGTGATTCCGTTTGTTTTTGTTGGGGCCTTCTCCTCTGTCATCTCAAGAAATCTTCGATCAAGGACTCTGCTGCAATCTCTGGGTATCTCAGTATTGGAGAGAGACTTCTCTGTGATTGTACACGCCTCGTCTTGTAGAGGGGTGCACAGCCTCTATAAATGTTTCTTCTGGCTGTTGCGAACTGGAAGTGGGTGGGTGATTCTGCGTGTGAAGTTTCTTTTTCTAAGGAACGCTGTACGCTATATGCTGCCCGCTCCTCCCTGCCTATCTCTAAGCTCTCCAATATCCACTCTCCCTGATTCTGGCGCGTTTCTGAGAGGCTTCCGGCAGCATTTCATTCGGCTCCATTTGCCGATTGATAGGCTGAAACAGCCTCTGCTCTCATTAAGTCTTCGTTGCTCGCGCTTGTGTGCAATTTTCCCTTTCCATTGACGTTCTGTTGCTCCTACTGCTGCCTCGCTGCGCTGGATATCTATCCCCCCCTCTATCGTGCTCGTCTGCTTTCCCCCCATTGCCGGTCTCTTCCCTCGCGACGCCTCAATTTATATGGGTCACTCGCTCCGTCTGTCGCTCTCCGCGTCTCAGAGATAAATCAGTCTTAAAGAGCAAGATGGAATTTGAAACGCTGATATGGACCTCTGCATACGATGAAAATGCCACCAAGCGGCAGAAAATGCTAGCCGACGCAGACGCTCTTGAGGCGGCCAAGATGGGCGGCTTGGTGGCGCCGGCTGATCTAGCGAGACAAGGTGACTCTCAGCAGCAGCATGCACACAGTTTGAAGCCAATAACATAAAACGGAGGCAAAGGTTGGACTTTCGGCTGTGTGTATTTTCCTGTGCACATGCAGCTGTCGGTCCCGCCCAGCATAGCGTCGACAAATACCTCATTCAGCGCACAGGGCCTTGGCGATGACAACAAAGAGTAAGGTATGCGTGTGTGTGTTTGTGGTGGTGGTGGGGCGCACCGGGGGAATGGAAGGGTGACCTGTTCGCTCTCTTTAAGTATCCCGTCTGAAAGATGTCCTACCCAAAACGCAATGCTCCGTGGCGAGCATCATGTTTGCAAGTATACTGTACTGGTAAAGGAGAACTGCAAAAATTTTTAATGTATACTTGCGTCTAAGGCTCGACGCGTGGGGTATATTTTCAAGGTAATATAGAGACTTTACACTAATGCTGTTTACTGGAGTCGGTGTTTTTTGCTTGCTTTTTTTGTGTAGGCTCAGCTATACTTGTCAAGTGTACGGACGGCTAAACTGTGGAATGATCTGCGGCGTCTTGCCTTGCGGCAGCAGCTGCCGTCGTGCGTCCTTCTTCGTAATGCACGAGTTGGACTGTGCTATAAGGCATTATCATTCTTGTGAGATAACCGCGGAACTGCTACGTCGTGGCAGTGTCTTCTTTGAGCATTAGCTTTACATTTGTGAGTGCATGCATGCATACACACCTCTAGAGCTTGTATATGAGTATCGGTTTTGCCCGCGTGAGTTCCTACGTCTACTCGTATATTGTTGCAGTTATTCACACATGTGTAGCAGCATGTGGACGTAATCAACTGGCAAAGTTTGCTAGTTGTATTTCTTGTAGTTAGCGGGTGCAAGCGTGAGAGCTTTTATTCTGTGAAACGAAATCCCTGGACTTCCGCATACACTCGAACAGACTCTTTGGAATTGAGGCTCTTTTGCACACCAGGTATATATGCATATATATATATATATATATATATATATATATATATATATATATATATATATATTCCCAGAGAGACAAGCTTACAGTATGATTCGGCTGAGTGGTGCCCTTGAGACTTTCTTTATTCTATCTAACCCAAGGGGACGCCCCAAACACCCTCCCAGCGACTCGAATTCACCGAAAAGATCTGTAAGCGACATCTCCAGATTTGGAGTGACGCATCCTTCTTGAGGTGCAAAATACAACCTTTCTGGCCTTGGGTCCGTCTGCTTCTACACAAACTAGAGGCCCCGAGGGCTCCTCTATGCGCAGGTGCTAAAGCTAAAAGCCTCCCATTCAAAAGAGCGGCTCTGCGTGCACAACTTGTTCGATCTCACCACCAGCGTCACAACGCCGTTTTCCAACATGAGCTGGGGCCTTTGATTACTAAAACACATCCGCGGACGTAAAGCCGCTAAGGCCGCCATTTCCCCCCTCACCGGCTCCCCTTCCCCCTTCCCTGCCATGCCATGCCCGTAACTCCTGGAGTCTCCCGCAGGACCTTCCACGTTACATGTTGATGACTTCGGCGACAGCACCGAGAAAGCCCAACAATTGCAAGGCCAGCAGGAGGCGTCGAAACGCATAAAGAGGGTGGTGGTCCGGCCTTTCACTGCATTTTAAAGGGTCTCGCCAGGGTGGCCCCTGCCAATTGCAGACCATGTGCAGACCGACAGTGACGAAGACATTCGGTGAGTACACCAGAACCTGTGGCTGCTGCTGGTCCTGCACCAGCGGCAGGAGCGAGCGACTATTTAGGAGCAGACACATGGCAACAACTCCGAAGGCAAACGTGGACAGGATTTGCGGGAGGTGATGCTGCAAGACGAGCAGTAGCTGGTGCTGCAGCGTCTGCAGCACCGACTTCGATCCTGCTGTGTCTAATGGCCACTCGAGGGAGCTCAGCAGCCGCCGTAAAGCAAGTGCTGCTTCTGCTTCGCACTGTGCAACGCACATGCACCGGCAAATACCAACGCGCGACTGACACCGGTCGTGCTGCTGTTGCAATGGCAGAAGCTGCTGCTGTGGGGTCTCGCTAGGGGGCGTCGTTCGCTGCTGCAGGTGCAGGGGAGAGCTAGCCGTTTTTAGAGCAGCAGAAGACGCTTCCGCAGTGGGTGCAGCAGCAGCAGCACCACCACCACCACTACCACCTGACTGTGCAGCAACCACGGCAACAGCTGCGAGCGCCTTCAGCAACGCTGGGTGGCAGTGCGGGATGGCAAAGAGCGCAGCAGAGGCGGCTACACACGCGGTGCTGCTAAATCCAGCAGCAGCAAACAGCACAAGCATTAGGCCTCTGAAGGTGACTTCCTCGAGGAGCGGTGCAACAAACAAACACTTGATCTGGTCAGCTACACCAGCCACAGTGCCGTCGTGGTTTGCTGTGGCTGCTGCTGAGGGTGAGGCCTCGTTCAACTCATTTGCGGCAGCAGGAGCAGCAGCTTCTGCCGCTTTGGGCACTCTAAGGACCCTAGAGAAGGACAAGCTCCCTGTGGACACGCACAGCGGAACGCTGTAAAGCAGCAGCAGGAAACGCAGAGATTGCAATGCAGCCGCAGCCGCTGCAGAGAAAAAGGCGTCCCACGACACCGGCCATCCCAAGAGCAGCAGAAGGCATTGCAGCCGTCGGGAGGATTCTGCTTGTGCTGCCGCTGCTGCTAAAGGCGTCCCCGCTGCTGGTTGCTCTTCAAAGGGCGAAGGCTCCTCAGAACGCGCAGCTGCGGATGCGAGGCCTCTTCCGACTCCTGAAAATAGAGGAGTGGCTGGGTGGCAGCTCAGAGGAGGCAGCAAGGCGTGCATTAGCCCTACACTGAGGCCACAGTAGGCTAGCAGAGACACACACCGCAGAAGGAATACACGGGGCATCCTGCTATCCTCCTTCAGAAGGCGCGCTAAGAGCTGTAAAACAGCGATCTTCCACGTCCAAGTGCAGCAATTTTTGCTGCAGCAGTTCCGGCCGTTGCTGCTGCTGCTGAGTTCGTGTGTCTTGACTTCCGTATGCCGAGTGTACGTAGAGCGGCTAATGCTGCTGCTCCTCTTGCTGTTGCTGCTGCTGCTGCTGTCATCCTCGTTGCTGCTGCTGTCGGTGCTGTTGCTCTTGGCGCTGCTGCTGTTGTTGTTGGTGCTGCCTCTGCTGCTGCTGCAAAACCCACCGCAGCTGGTGCGGCAGCGCGAACGGTGCGACCGCCACAGCTGCCACAAGATGCAGCAGCACTGTGCCACGTACAGCGTTACCGGATATAGTGCAGCTAAAACGAGGCTTGCGGCAGCGGCAGCAAGCGGAGCAATTGAAAAATTGCAGAGGATGTGATGGTGCTGTAGGCTTGATCCTTTACCCGTTGGCAAGCGGAAGCCGTTCGTGCTGTCGCTGTTTCGGCGGATGATGCATAGAAGAGTCACAGAGACTGCTGCTGCGCAGAAGACAAGGGGTATCTTGTAGTTGCTGCCCGGATGCTCAGCTGCGAGTGCTGTTGTTGCTGTGTGGCCTCCTCGCGGAAAGGGCCTCGCAGCTAAAGGCACCCTCCTGGGTGCTTCAGCGATATTGTTATTCATCGGGCAGCACTTTGCAGAAACCCTCATTCGTAAGTCCGAACAACACGCATCAAGACAGCCTGCCTCTCTGTCTTCGCATGCAGCCCCATGCAACGCATGGGCTCCCCTGGTAAGGAGGGGGCCAAAGCAGCCACCAGACCCTACACCGTCTACACAAAAGGCGGCTTTCAAAACACCAATCTGCGAGCGCTGCTGCTGTTCTCATGGGCTGCACATCTGACGCCCTCATACTCCTTGGAGTGCCTCCCCTAACCTTCCTCTTCATCGAACACGCGCCTAGCACAAGCAGCGCTGTATTTCCTCTCACAAGAAGGCTGTACTTCCTCTCACAAGAAGGGCTGTACACCCTGTCTCAAGAAGGGCTGTACACTCTCGCACATGAAGCGCTCCCACCGGCAGGCCCTCTGAGGCAGTCGTTCCTTGGCTGCCTCTGACTGGGCAAAAGCTCCTCAAGACACTCCACCCTCCACACGCCCTATAAACCAAATTCCTGGAGATGGTAGCTGCGGCATATCTCCGCTGGTGCTCAGGGCCTACTATCGTGGCCGTTGTGCTGTACGCAACGGCGCTTTGCACACGTACGCGCTCCTAAACATTTAGTTTCCCAGCACGTAACCCTCCACAGCACGCCAGCGACAAGAGATCAGCTCCTCTGCGATGCTTCTTTAATGTCGAGTTCAACGGTTTAGAGCATGTGCTTTCCGCTGTGTACTGCAGGGGTTTGGTGCTGGGAGGCCGCTCTATCCGTGGGCTTCTTCCTTCTTGCACTGCTCTGCAGGAGCGCCACCCTCCGCAGTAGGCTTCATTCCCTCTTGCATCATCATCATCACCACCATCCCCTACCACCATCCCCCTACCACCCTCCCCGTTGCTCTCGCTTTTCTACGATTGCCGCCTCCTAAATTTCATGCTGGCCCTTTTCTTCTTCCACCCCTCCGATCACTCCGCAGCTGCTAAACGCACTCCTCAAAAGACTGATTTTCCGGCACTTTCTCTGTGTGGCTGCTCCTGCTTTTGCTGCAGCTGCTGCCGCAGCGTACTTAGATCCTCTGCACCGGCTTTTGCTGCTCCAGAAGCAGCAGCGCCAGCCCTCCCTACGACCCCTCTCGACTTCCCCAGCTGATGGCAGTCGCTGGGGTGTCTTTTCAGCCTTCGTGCTGCCTCGTCTCCGCCCCGTATTTGATCCGCTGCCACAGCTCTTTCTCTGCACCTGGTTGTCTGCCGTTGCTGCCGCTGCTGCTGCTGCTGCACTGGCAGCAACAGGCGGTGTACAGCTGCCGCTAGCGGCCCTCCTTCTGGCTGCAAGCCACGCGTAAGCTTCGCCTGCCACACCGTCATCGCATCTCCAGTGGGAGGACTGCCCCATTGTCGAGTTCTTTGTTGCCTTTTCGAAACATGCGACGCCCTACCGCGAAAGGCTGAGTCCCCTAGGTGCGGCAGAAGTATGAACACCAACCGCATGCCTTCGAAAGTGTGTGCGCACAGGTTTTGCTGCACGTACCGCTATGCAGCGCGGCAGCAGCACATCGTGCTGCTATGCCGCCCGCTACCCATGCCTGTGCTGTCCCTTCATCTGGCGTCTGTGAGTTCTACCCCTGTCTGTGTTTCCCTCGCACTAGGTGTCTGCACTCTGCAGGTTAGGTGACTTTTTGACGCTGCTGCGGATTGCAGCACTCAAGGCATGCCTTCCCCTTCCCCCCCTCCCCCCCAAAGGCCAGCATGCGTTCTACGCCCCCAGCAGACCCCCCTTTCTGCTCTTTTGCTGCCCGTTTTTTTAATGAACATCCTCGAGCTACTGTCATTTCTTCTGGCGTCTCTGTACGCCCGGCTGTCTGCCGTGCTGCGGCGGGGTTTTGCAATGCAGGGCCTCGTGGAAGTGATCATATCTGTGACGATTGCTCTGGCAGCGTGGGTACTGCTGCTGCTTTCTGCGGCAGCAGCCACTTTATCGCAGCAGCTGTTGCTGCACCTGGATGCGTTCTCCAGTCAGCAGCACGCGAAGACCCTCGTTGCAGCTCCCGTCACTGCTGTGCTGCAAGTGCTGCAGCAGCGGCTGCAGCACCTGCTGCTGCTCTCGTCATCTTCCACCATCACCCCAGCCGCAACAGCAGCAGCACTAGCAGCACCACGAACGCAGCCCGTCGACGCCTCCGCGCTCCAAGAAGCGTGAGTTGCACCTGGGGGCTCTATGGCGTCTTAGGACTGCAAAGTGGCGGGAACACGCAAGCGTATAGCTTGCATTTTGTTTGTGGCTGCCGCAGCCTCTTTTGGGCCGCTTTTCTCGCGCTTCTCTGGCTTATGTCAGTGCTGCAGCAGCGGCACACAGCGGAAATCCACAGCAGACCCTGGAGAGACGTGAGCAGCAAACACATCCACAACGCAAACACCTGCTGCAGGCACCTGCTCCTGCCATCGCTGCTCCTGCTGCTGTCGGTTTTGCCATTCTGAGACTGCCGGCCATACCCTTTTTGTAATGCTTCCCTTCGCTGCGCTCTAAAATGCCTACTCCTCGTGCGCCTGCTGCAGGCGGCTGCAGCAGCAGCCTTGCTCCTGCAGCACAAGCCTGAGAGCTGGGAAGATCTGCCTACGGACGTCCCTGTAGGTTCAAGCTCTTCTTCCGTCCGTCACTGCGTCGCTTTCGCCACTTTCTCTCTGAGCAAACTTTTTAGACTCCCGCAGCGGCGGCAGGTGTCTGCAGCAGGTGTTTGCGCCTTGGCTGGTGCAGATCCTTGCGCTCTTGGGCATGCGGCAAGCCGTTTCCTCGCTGCAGCTTTCAGTAAATCAAGCAAAGACCCGTTACGTTCAGCAGCAGTCGTTGGCTCCTAATCCCAAAGGCAGCGCCACGAGCAGCAGCGACGGCGCTTACAGCGGTGGAGGATACGGCGTACGTAAGGACACCAGAGTGGCTCAAGATGCCGCAATCTTTCCCCCACTGAAAGAGGTTGCTGACTTTCGCAGTTGGTATCAAGGGGCCGCTGATGCAGTCGCTGCTTTTTGCATGTCTATGCCGAGAATGGATGCAGCCGGAGCCCCTTGTTTTCCCCGAGACACTTGCAGATTTGCGTGGCCTCGACCTATCTCATTTGCTGCTGCTGCAGCAACAAGACGAGCTGCCGGTGGGTGGCTGCTGCTGTTGGTAGCTGCGGCTAGCTGCATAAAAGGGTTGCTCCTTCTGTCGTGTGCTTGCCGCCTCCGCGCACTGAAGCCTGTACACCGTATCCTCTTCTGAGGCTTCCTGAATGCGCCACGCTTGCTGCTGCGTACCTAAGGTCTTTGAGGCAGTAACATCGCTGGTTCTGCGGCAGTTACGGCTGTACAGCGCCCTCCTGCGACTGCTACCGACGCTTTGCTCTGCTGAAGCGCGCCAGGTTCACGAATCGGTGAGCCTGTTGCCCTCCCTCTTGCTTATGCAGTAGTCACTGCTCTTGCTGGGGCTTTTGTCAAAGTATGGCGTGCGCTTGACCCTTGACGTCTGCTGCAGTCTCTCGAGGGGGATGGCACGCAAGCAGCACTGCCAGCAACTCCGAGCAGAACGGAGATGTCAAGCGGGCTGTTTGGCAGCCAGTGGCATGCTGCAGCAGCAGCGGAGTCCGCGGCGATGCAGCAGCTGCTGCTCACTATGGCAGAACCCCTCAATGCCATTGTTGCGGCAGCAGCTGCAGCAGCAACTGCGGCAGAAGCGCTCACGGGCTGGCTGTGCGTTTTAAACGCCTTGGGAAAAGGTGAGGACTGGCTGCTGTTGCTGCAGCGAGTGGCAGTTCGCGTCTTCACAAACGGGGGGTGGATGCTTAAATGTTGTCTGTCTCCTGCGGCGTAGCGGCCTTCCACGTGCACTGTTGACTGTAATACGGCAGTCGTGATTGTTTACCGCAGGCTTTGGTGTTGTTGGCGCCCAAGTGGCTGTACGCTTCAGCAGAGAGCTCGTAAGGCGTCACAGCGTTGTTGTGTAGCTGCGGGACCGCATACTAGAACCAGCCAGAGGGCGCTGATGCTGTTGCTTTGCAGCTGAATGCGCACTTCTGAGGCGGCCCCCTCAAGAAGAGGCGGCACCGGAAGAATCGAGGGGGGTGTTCAAGGACAGCGCTTGATTCCGTGTTTGTATTACTGCATGCGCAGGCCCTTGCGTCTGTACAGCATGACGCAGCTTTGATTGATCCGCGATACTCGGCACTGCAGCCCATGCTGCAAAGCACCAACACAAGTGAGGCCCACCCTTTCTCTGGGGGTGGTTGTGTGTCTCCATCCAGTTGCTGCGGCCAAGAATTCGATTGCCTGTACTCTGGCATGTGGCGTTGCCGTTCCTGCTGCTGCAGTGCGTGGGTGCCGCTCATGGTGCCATACCTGTATATGTGTGTGCTTTTCCGAGACTGCAGCGATGCGCTCATGCCTGCACCGCCTCCTCGTGTACAGAGCTCCTGTTTTATCAGCAGCACGGGGTTGTTCAGTGTTGGTGCAGCAGCTGCTAGAAAACGCTTTTGCGGACTAGCTTGGCGTATATTTTAATGGCTGCTGCTACTGCTGCTGAAAAGAAATTGGCAGCAGCACTACACATGGGTTGCTGAATAAGGCGCAAGCCTCCCTGGCTGCTGTCAGCTTCCGTCTCAGCCTCTTGGCGCACCACTGACTGACTGTTGCAGCAGAGAGGCCCTTAGAGCACATTGCAAAATGGAGTCTCTAAGAGCCCCTGATGCCAAAGTGACGTGGGAGACCTTTTGCTTTTTCTTGCAGAGTGCAGCAGGACCTGCTTTCGCTGCTGTTTTCAATGCCGTGCCCTGTATTGCTTCTGGGGATGCCAGCCTTCAGAGCTTTTCCAGTCGAACACTGGCCGTTCTATCTTGCCTAAAAAGCGCCTTCCGCGCGGCTGCCGTAGCCCCTGTGACGATTCTCCATCCGCAGGCCTCAATAAGCAGACGCTTCACTCTATACGCACTACAAACTTCGTCTTTAGTGTTTCTTAAGTGAACTACCGCCCTCCCCTGGCCGCTTCCCTCCAAGTTTTCCCAAGGGAAGCGGGCATCTGGTCAATCACAACCAGTTACCCATGACACTTAACCCGCACGCCCACAACGTCGCGTCCTTTTGTATCGAGCAAGCGCTACTCTACAATCAGCACGAGACAAAGCAAACAAGCAATTCTTCGCGTTCTCGAAGTGAAGTGTAACGAGTGCAGGGGGAGGTGCGAGGCCCAGGATTCTGTGTCAAGAGAAAGGCCCTATTAGTTCCTTTCTACGCTGGCACAGCCATGGCTAGATGTCGGTGTTGTGCAGTGCTTAGTCGCCGTATTATGGCTGGGTTTGTCAAGCTTTTAACGTTTGTTTGCCTGCACCCTACCGAGGTGCTTAGAGTGTTTGTGCGCTGTGCGCTTTTTGGGTGTATAGCTAGCCAGAGGAGCTGTTTTCCAGCACAGCACTATGACAATACCATGGTGCCTTCAGTTGAGCTCTGCTGAGGTGGCCCGTAGACGACTCCGTAGCAGGCCAAGCGGCGTACGCGGACTGACTCGCATGGGCTCTTTACACTAACGCCACAACACATATCCCAGGCTTCGAAGTCTAGGGTCGAAGGCATTCGTGGCAAAAAGGGTGGGAGTTCGTTTTAGAGGCTGACCATGGGGGAATGCCGCCCAAAGGATTTTAGGGATTGCGTTTTCTCGGGGGCCAATACCCACAGGGACCAAGAATCCCTACAGTGACCTATATATATAGATATAATATGGTGATGATTTCGGTAGATCCATTATTAGTGGGGGTATCAGAGATAGGTTTCAGCGCTCCTCTAGGGCTTTGGTGTGTGGGGCCCAGAATGGCTTGAAGCATCTCTTCCTTCAGCGTTTCCTTCGCAATTCTTTTTTGTAGAATGTCACTTGTTGTTTGCAGATTATTATCGCTGCGCGACTATTCCTCCTACTGCGCGTTTCCCTCTCGAGCCCGTCCCCGTTTGTATCTGGGGGCCCCCGGGGGCCCCTTTGCATGTTAAGTCGAATCTTTGCATGTACCATGGCTAAGGCGGCGGGAGATCAAGGCCCCCCCGTTAAGGGGAACATCTGGAGGACATCTAGGGGTGGACTTCATGCTGCGAAGGCCGTCAAGCGTTGCGAGCTTCCCGTGGGAAGCAAGCTGGGAAAAGTTTCGAAGAAAGGTCTCCGCGAGCAGGGCCCCCCCTCCCTGATTCCTAAGGCAAAATTTAAGGCTCCAAAGAGGAAGGGTTCGGTAGACAAGAGACCGAAGGCCCCCCTGCTGAAGGGGCGCCTGACTATCCCTGATATTAGGGATTTTCAGGAGCTTGTTGATGCCCCGGAAGGCCCCGACAGTGCGAGGGCGTTCAAAGAGCCTGCCCAGGCGGTGTCTAGTCATGTTGAAGCGACGGTTGTCGAAGCACAGAAGGCCAATGCGAAAGAAAAGAAACACTTCTGGAGAGGTAAGGAACAGCTCCGGTCTGCGTGGTAGTTCTCTCCTACGGGCTGTTCCGTAAGGACCTCCTTTCTTTGGTGGCTTCTCTAACGCTGCCGCCTTGTACATGCATGCTTCTTAATGTGTGGTCCTTCTCTATGGAGCTTTCTGTGTCTGTCACGTTGTTTTCTTCCTCCTGATCTTCTTGCGCCTGCTTCATACCCCTCCGCGTCTGCCTGCGCACCATTAGCAACCCGTGTCTCTTTGTACGTGCTCGCCTATGCAGACAGCACAAATCGGAGTCTTCTTAGGGTGCTGCAACGGCAACTGGGTAAGGGTGCCCCCCCTGCTTCCGGGGTGCCTTCCCAGGAAGACGGGACTCCAGACATGCAGCGCGAGACGCACCAGGCAGCGGTGGACTTTATTCGGGCATCCCTCATTGCCTCGGGTGGAGCTCATCGCAAGGGCACCTCTTTGGAAAAGATGGAAAGGGCTAAACCCAGGAGGACGCGCCTCTAGCCCCTGCTACTGCATGGGGCCTTGTGTAAGCGAAGGATCCCCTTGCCCTTTACGGCCCCCCGCACGTTGCCGTTACCAAACGCTTTTTCCAGGGAGAATAAGCCCCCCTTTGAGGCTCGCGTCACCTTTACAGGCCTGTTATGCCTCCGAACCGTCCCCAAGTCAGTGGCTTTTCCCGCCTGTTCAGCTCCTCCCTCAGGATACCTCTGCCGGGGGTCTTCGTGGAAAAAACGCTGAATGAGCATTGCTCCACCGTTGAGTGGTTCTTAGGGGACTTTCTTTAAGCCTGTCAGGCGGAGAGACGTGTTTGTTTGGGATTGAGCTGAACGCCTTAGACGATTTCGTGATGTGGTGGCGTACACCAGCCACGTCGGGCCAAGGAGGACCCCACTTTATTGGGGGAGACCTTACCACAAGGACCATAACTGCTGCCATTCCTGCTGTCATCATTGCTGCCGCAGAGTACTTTGGCTCTCTCCACACAGCGCGAACCTTGAGCTCGCCTTTATTTCTGAGCTGCGTGCATCTGGGCCCTTAGAACCACCCCTCCTCAGCCGGTAGGCTTACTGAGAGTGTCGCGACGCCCATATCCTCAACGCATTCCAACTGCCGGCCACGATCCTCTCCAGGCTAAGTGACACACCTCGGCACCTTCTACTACACAGTAGTGACGGGCTACAACGCCCCATCTCAAACCTACGCAGGCAGGTATATGACTTCAGACTCGATGCAAGCTTTACTAAACATTACACGGTTTCTGGTGCTGCCCGGGCACCTAAAAAATCTCCACCTGAATGAATGGGAAGAGAGAGCTAGGGTGCACGTTCCTAGCTACCCCTTTACGCACTGTGCGCATGCCCAGCTAGTTGTACATGTTGTACGCACACAAGCGTGCATTCCGTACTGGGCAAAGAGAAATGACCAATCGATTTATCTGGTCCTAGACCTGATAAACCGATCGGCCATTTCTCTACTGATTTGTAGTCAAATGCAAGCAGTGTAACGCAACGTAGCTAGTGTGGCGGGATATGCTACGTAAACCTCTGCTTTCTGCCACACTAGTTATCTTCTGATAAAAATAAACAGGAACTGACTGATTGGTTAGACTGTTCGTACATCTCATTCACTGCAACATAATACCAATGCTGTGCGCATGTGTCCTAGATGATGCGTGAAAACAGCTGTGAATCAGGAGTATAGCAACACGACTTCGAGCTGTCTCCCCCTGCATGCCGGAACCCTGAGAGTTGTGGGAAAGAAAGTCCGGAGCTCTTGTAGAGAAATACTTCTCACAATCTGATTATCGAGGCTGCATCAAGTCTGTTATCAAGTGTCTCCCCCCGGAGACCTTAAGCAAAGTGTTTTGCAGTGACGCACTCCTCCGACTTTAGGTCCATGGCGTGATGCACAGTAAGCCTAGTGCGGATGCAGCACAGCGGCACGAGCCCCTCATGAGCAAAACTGTACGCAGTCTAAAAGGAAATTGAAAAGTACCCACAACTGATTGGAATTAATGTATGTCCCTTAACTGCTTGGGAACCACAGCTGACTGGAATGGTAAGTGCTCTATCTTTCTTCCCGAAGGATGCATGAATACGGCACTGCTCCAGGGGTCTCTCTATGGTTCATACTATAGCGTTTAGTGTAGTATAAATATTTGATCTTCTCTCTTGTGGGCTGCTGAGCAATATTATTCCAAAAATTTGAGGAAATGTAGTGCTCCTGCTCTGCCTTTCAAAATTTCACAAAGTACATAAATTAGCATAGAGGGTGGTGCTGCCCAATGCGGAAGTAGGGGAAGGTAACTCAGTGTTCGTGTTTAGACTGTTTTCCTCCTTGTGTTAGGCGCTGTATTTCTGCGTATCCTTCTCCCCATACATTTACGCCTCTAATACTGTTCATGAATGCACTCTAATTTGGTCTTTCTGGATGCGGATGAGCATGCGTCAAGAAAAGGAGGCCGTCGTGGCTTTCAGAGTGGGACCTCCCTATAAGAAACCAGTTGCAACATCGATACTTGCAAGGGCTGGCGTAGAGCGGTAGCAAAAGATGGTGTAGGCATGCCAACAACACTTGAATAAGTGCATACAAGGATAGGAGGGCTTGATTAGACAACGTTCAAGACGCTCTACAGAGCAGCGTGAGAAGCGGTCTAAAGGATACATGGAGGGGCGGACGAGACGTAATCCTGCTCCGGAAGCGCCCTTGAAACTCAGTCCAGAGAGTCGATAAAGCCTGGATAAAGTATGAGAATACCTTATCCAAAGTAACTAAAGCATGTTTGAAAAGGTATAAAAACATCAAAAAGGAGGACAAGCTGCTTGATGGCTTGATCTGCAAGCAGATCTGTTCTGGTGGTCAAGTGGCCTCAGGACGAGTATTTCGCCGCTTGAGGCTGTTGTCTTCAGTCAATATTGTTTTTATATTGTTTCTTTTTTGTATTTTTTTTTCGTTTCGATATATTAATAAAACAGCATACAGTTGTCCCCATTTGTGCATAAGTGTCCGAAACCGCAGCCGGGTACGTCTCCTCAAATTTAGTTTTCGTTCGTTTTGTTTTCTTCCCGAAAGATACCTCAAGTCTGCCTCTTCCCCAGACTTGAGATGTATAGCATGCGTTTGGCAACATTATCCCTGGTGTTGGCTGCCGCGCTGGCCACAGTACAATCTGAAAGGATCAAAAGGAGATTTGGTTTCAGGCGTAGCCGCAGCAGTGACAGTGTCCTTGGTCCCGGTGTAGGCGCTCGGCAGGAGGCGTTGAGGAAAAGCCGATCCATGCCTGAGTGGTAAACAGGCCACTCATTGCCATCGTAGCAACACTGTTCCTCCATCCCTTCTAGTGAAATCTGATTTGCCCTGCCCTCTGTACAGTCGTTTGCAGTGGCCTCTAGACGTCATATGAAAACAGAAACGTCGATCCCTGTGCATTTTCAAATTTTTATTGCAGGTTGGAAAAAGAGGAGGGCCAAATTGGTATGGTTCATATTTCCCTCTCTTCTCCCTTTTTTTTCTCGTATACTCACTTTTCTGTGGGAGTCAAACACATGCTGAATAGGCAGATGTACTCTTTGCGTTAAATGTATTGCCCCGGTTTTTAAAGCCTTGTTTTGACTTGATTATGTAGGAGTGAGTACCGACTGCATGGCTCCTAGCCAATGGACGCCCAGACAGAGTACTGCCCCCTCAACCTAAAGGAAAGGGAACTTCTCCATCGTCCCCTTTCCCAAGCCTCCAGCTCACCTCCACAGTACCCCATTGCCATGCGATGGTCTATGGTCAGCAACATATGCCTACTTTTTGAATACGCTCAGGTTCAAAAAAAAGGCCGCGCACTGGTAGATTGTAGCCAATCAGGTGATTCACGCGTCCTTAGCTACCTACCTAGCAACATAGCAAGGCATAGCACTGCGTCCTTTTGTGCTCGTATCTAGAAATGTATACGTAATGAGTTGCCGCATATCTATTTTGGAGGCTTTTTTGCTGCTATTTTGTTAGTGGAAAAGTTCCTCGATTCGCGTCCCTCGAAAGAGGATATCTTAGCAGCTTTGATGGATCAAGAAAGCGATGAGCCTGAGCATTTTGAGGATATACACATGGAGAGCTGCGGCAACCGTCCAATGGCTAGAATCTACAATCCAGAAGAAGCTGTACAACGCCTCCATCTTCACCATTCCCCACGACTTGGTTCCCTGGAAGAGAGCCTCAAGGAGTATCAACTGTTTGTCATTGATCACGAGCGTACTATGAACAAGATCAGAGATGCTATGATAAAAGAATCACACTCGAGACTCCGTCTTGCATACATTCAGTGGTAAGAGCACATACAGACAACAGCGAACAAAGGATATGCTGAGCAACTCTCACTCTGTTTGTGAGCCTGACGCACCGCCCGGGTGCTGTGATTCTCCCGCCGTTATTTCTACACCAATCAGTCTATGCATCACTCTGCCCTCATGTGTGACCAGTTGCCTCTTATTGAAGCCCGTTTTCTGTCACTTTGTTGTCGGCCTTGCGTTCCCTGTGCTTTTCTGTCTGCAGGAACGCCTTGCTAGTTGTTCCCAACGCCTTGCAAATACTTTTTGCCTTTCTTAAGCCTGGAATAGGATTCGCTGTAGATGAGGTAGATGCAATAGCTGTTTTGCTCCAAGAAAACAAAAAGCTCCGTCCTCGGAGTGAGGCACGGTTTTTGGAAAACATACAATACGTGCTAAACGCAATAAGCACAACTGCAGATTGGGGAACGCCTTCAATCATGTACTTGAATAACCTCATAGGGACGCAACCAAGGACCCTTTTTAGGCCCAACACCCAGACAATTATATCCGTATTCCGAAAACCGTTTCAGCCCAACGGAGTTTGTGAAACGAAGCAGGCGATTCGCTATAGGGAAAAGGGCTTCGTTGGTACCGTCTTCAACATTCCCAACATGGGCCAACTCGCTGTGCTCGGGGCTCATCTCAAGGGATGGGACGCTGCTCAGTTCGAAAGCTTAATTCCTGTTCTTGTCAGCAGCTGCGGAGAGGCCGAGAAAGGTATTTCCTTCCCTTTACTATGCCCGGGATATTCGAGGGCTTCCTGACCGTGCATTCTTTCTATTTGCTCCTCTGTAATCCAGTTTCGCACCATATGAATTGTCTGTAGTCTAGTTGTTCACTGCATCTTTCTTAAGGTGACGAATCTGGTTTGTCCTCTTGTAGGATCGACCGTACTCTAGCACGGCTATTGACGGTCCCTCTGGAGTTGGCACGTGAAACTTTATTTCTAAGGCTGATGCCGGAGCGGGTCCTTGCCATTTGTATTCTTGCTTATTGCAGGCCTTGATTCGTTTTCCCTGGGAGTTGTTTTTGGAGCGGACTGGAACGAGCACTTTCACACCGGGGCCATGAAGAGCCTGTACACACTGGTTCATGCCAATCCGACAAACTTTCCTGGCCTACAGAAAAGCGACTTCCCCACTAGAATGCGTACACCTCAGTCTTCATCTGTGGACCCTCCCTTTCCATATTAGCCCCTGGGCCTTTAGGTGCAGTTGCTTTGGTCTAGAAGTGCCTTACCCACAGTTTGGGCAGCATAGCAAGCAGGTGTTCGTGTATGCGCGCGGCTGTCCTTTAGCGTTGCACTCTGTTTTGTTTCTGGCGCACAGGGTGCATCATGTGTAGTTGCGTGTTGAGGACTCTTGTGGTGCAGCCGAAAATCTTAGAATGACTTCACTCTTCATTGATGCCTTGTCGGAGCCTCTCGAAGAAATCGACGAGGACTACCAGCATCTCCTCTGGTATGCAGATAGACTGGGGAGGCATGTTGCGGAACAGGGTGAGCCCAAAAGCCTCCCCGCGGCACTCACGGGACAAGGCTTTTCCATCATCAGCACTTGCTACCGCGCGGGATTTACTTACAAGTGGAAACAGGGGTGTCGAATCAAGCAAAAGCCACAACAGGCAAGCCATCATTTCTCTTAGTGAACCGCGCAGTCAGTCGGTTCCCTTCATCTCTGTAGTACTATGAGCTGCCCCTCTTCTGAAAACAACCGAAGCCTTCGTTCCTACCTCTTTTGTTGCGCTCGAGGGACTGACTTCAAAAGGTTTTCCCAAAGTTGTATCTGCGCTTGGTGTCATTCTTATTCGTTCCATAGGGCTATTCCCCGTTCTCAGTTCTGAAAAGGTGTCTTCATCCCAAGGTCGTCTCTTCGCCTCGAGGCGCCGGGTACTTGGATCGAGCCGCAGTGCGTATGCCAAGCTACAGTACTCAAAAGGTAGAAAGAATTTTGGTCACCGGGAATGTAGAGGAAGGGCTCCCCAAAGTCTTCTCCTCCATTCGCCAGGGGGTCCAGATATACAACTTAAGCAGCGACCATGTCATGGTTGCTAGCCTCATTGAGTTTATCTGGGGGGAATAAGGGAAATCGAAAACGCAACTAATCCCCAGCTGGCCTGCCTAGAGCAGAGCTTTGAGTGTGCACGGTGTCATAATATCGCATTTTGGGGCACTGTTTACGTTTCTAGGTCCATCCACCTTCTGGGTCATCCATGCTGTGATTGCAAGTAATGCATTACTGCGGTGGGCTGCATGCAAATACCCGAAAGCTCCTGGTCCTCACCAAATAAGTTGCTGTATCAACATTGTATTTTTTCTCAAGGTGGGATGAAAGGGCATCTCATGTTTAATTCTCATTTCTAACAGGCTGCATGCGCACTTCTAGAGTACTTCTTAGGCCTTTTCACAGGCAACCAGCGTATAGAGTTGCTTGTAGATAGCCTCTGGAGCTTGGTGTATGCATGTGATGCACGGCGTATCAAGCCTTCAGCTTTGGGGACAAGCTCTCCCTGTTCTCCATCTTATATAGCTTTGCGCGCACCGCCCTTTTGCTGATACTATGGAAAGCGCCCTTGATGCAAAAGGGCGGCTTCTTGGTGCTCCACTTTTGCATAATTTGCTGCGTAGGGAAGATTTGCTCCGGAGAGGATGCTAGGACCGTGGTTAGCAAAGGATTTTCCGTGCAGAAACGTGTAGGATAGTTGATTTTGTGTTACAATACTGTATTGCTTTTGGTGCATTCTTAAGATTCCACGCGTGTATGCGGGGGAATTACTTATGGTGGTGGGCCTGCTGCCTCCGGCCTAGAGCGGCAGGGCAGACTACTTGCCATTCAGCAGGCCAGAGAGCCCCCTCTACTAGTGAGTATTGTGTGGCTCGGTGCATTCAGCATACGATAGATAACCCATGGTTCATTTCCTTGTCCCGCTAGCAATTGCGCCGGTGTTAGTCGCAAGGAAGGAAGCTACAAGACGTTTGTGCTGGCCGCTGAAGAAAGGACCGCTCAGACACCCGACAGCCAGTGCACAAGGCTCGATTTTATAGCTCAATAAAAGGTACAGAACCATTACCCCCACCCCTATGCGAGGTCGTGGCGGGCCGAATGCTCGACTAGGTTTGTTAGACTCAGGTGCCCGCATAAAGTCTCTGCTTGCGTAAACGTATTTTGGTTCTGCAAGGTGCTCCTCTGAGGAACAGAACTTCCCTAGTGTCAATACACTCCGCGATAAAGGCAAAGCTAGAGCCCTGCTATGTAGCCTGCCACACGTCGGCAGACAGGCCTACCTGGTGGTGTTGCTCCTCCTGCAGCTGGCTGCTCCACAGGCAGCTGCGGGAGGAGCAACACCACTTGTGAGCAGCTCTGCCTTTACTTCTCCACGAAAATACGTGCTTCCTCAACGAGCCGCCGAACCTCGTCAATCATCTGAAAGGCGCTGAGGTTTGCGTGCCTACACCAGCAAACAGGTCACAAGGCTGCGAAGAGTACTGTGGAGGTGCCGGTGGGTGACGGAACCTTCTCTAATTTCGTAGTTCCTGTAAAATACGTTTATGAATCGGAGGCAGCGCCTCCATAATGTGCGTAAGCTTCCCCTGTTACATGCCCCCCTTTTAATTACTTGAGAAGATTGGAAGCGAGAGGCACCGATCCGAAAATATGCTGCTCAAGGAAGTGGTAGATTGTCAGGAGACGCGTGTGAAACCTGCAACAGCCAACCGCCGAACCGAGCTCCCAAAAGGCGTCCATTGAAGCATCATGAAAAATGGAAGACGCAACTGTCATAGTCTGATACACACAGAGAGAGAAGCAATCAAAATCAAAGACCCATAGAAAATAGCGAAGCGAAAATTGGTGGGAGCACCCTACAAGCTCACCTATTAACTACTCCGCCCCCTAAGACGCGTCCAGCCGTGTCTTCTACTGTGGAAAACCTGCAGAAATTACAAAAAAGGAGATGAGGCTGACTGCGAGGTCCTCAGCAGGGCTGCTGGCATTGTGCCATCGAGCTGGTAAGAAAAGACAAAAGGGCGCTCGTCTCAAACACCATGTGCCCTTCCTTTTCCCCTCAAGGCCTGATGCTGCATGCATGCTTGTGCCTATCTCTCTCTCTGTGGTGCTGGCTCGTTGCGTGTCTGCATTTTAGGTGCTTGTGTATTGTGTGCTGCCTCTTTATCCAGCCCCCCGCTGCCGCTGACCGAGAAAGTGTTTTCTTTCCGTAGGTTAGTAGCATCTCTACCACCTCCTCGTCCGTCTGAATGTTGTGAGTCCTCTGAAGGAACGCAATACCCAAGGATACACCTCAGGGCGATGCTGCCAAGTAACCGCCTCCCCTGGAATAGGCCTCTCCCTCCCCCTCCCCCTCCATTTGCGCCCCTCTCCAGAACGCAGCCAAAAGACGACTCAGCGTATGTAGGGACCCGTGGGCTTTGCTTTCTTGCACCCTAAACGGACCTTGATGACTTCCTTGTCGTGCTCCCACAGAACATGGAGGCAGCGAGCAGCTAACCAGGCCCACATGATATCCTTCTGCTTGTCGACCATTTCACCTTCTTTCAGCAGAGGCACTTGCCGCAAGGCCGTCAGGAGAGGATCCGAGGCAGGCGTCTCCGTTCCTTTCTGTAGACGCACAAGCAGCTTCAAGTCTTCGTAGGCAACAAATGGGACGGTGCGTTGAGCCTGTGTCTTCGCCACTGCTCACGCTGCATGCCTCACGCATTTTCCACACTGTTCCCTCATCTCTTTTTGGCCTGGAGGATAAAAAGAGATGGAGGAAAGCGGAGATATACGAGCGGAGACAGCAGTAAAAGACCCTCGTGTGCATCTTGCCTGAGCTCCAGATGTGCCCCTTCCCCCTGCTGTGCGAGGCTTGGATGCCTGCTTGACTGCCAAAAGCAACTCTTGCGTTTTACTGCACGCCGTCAGGAAGGCCAGAGTGGTATGCATCCCATTTACCAACCCTATCTTCCGTTGACACAAATAGTGCGCTGCAGCCTGCAAACACCCATCCATTCAAATCCTCGCAAAACTCTAAGGTCTAGGGAGGCCCCACGCGGTTCCCTTCTTCCACAAGCAGCGTGCGGCTTCGTGCTTCGCCAACTGACTGCACGATACTGCCCCTTGTCTCATCCGAAAGCGCGTTCCCCTCACACAGCAAAAGATTAAGGGATGACGAGGCATCTGGCGGTGAGCAAGGAAAATCATGAGCGCTCATTTGTCACATGCGAGCGCTTTACCTACCTTGAGCTTCGGCGCATGCACGTTAGGACCCCCAAAGGGAGGTGGAGGTGAGTTCTCTGGCCGATCCAGCACCACAATTTCCCCTTCATAGGGCTCAGCTTCCACTTCTATCTGACATGCAACACCATTGCAAACTCTTTGGTCCATTGCAGACCTTCTAACTCCTGCCAAGCAGAAGTCCCTCTCTACAAGTCTCGATTAGATGTGTGTGCCGCCTTTAGATCATTCGGTAAGCCCTAGAGAAAGAGCCACGACCTCGCTTTAAAAGCGCTTGCTTGCCGCGAGGCTTCGGGGCATGTAGGCCGACAAAGACTGACCTTGTCTGCACAGACGTGCCTAGAGGCGCATATCCTGTCCACCATGCAAGGCAGAACGCGAACCTTTGTGTTAAGCTCCTCCCGCAGCTTCTCGACAGCCCCATGATCATTCTCACAGGCATACAGCAAGACTTGCTGAGGCTTCGGCCTGAAAAGAAAACAGCCTGATTCTCAGATCTTTAGAGCTCCTAGATATCAATTTGACCCCTAGCCACAGGCAGACCTTCGAATGTTACCGCCAGAATGCGCCTGACTGAAACACTCCAGAGGCTTTTCCGAGCACGCAAACGGCAGAATTCGCTGCGGCCGTCGTGCCGAAGAAAAGACTCCCCAGCCACCCTTGCAGCTTCAGCCCTAACTAGACCCCACGCCAAATCGTTTGAGGAGCGGATCAAGCTGCTTCATGCGTAGAGGACTCTGACGGCAATGTGCGTGCCACAGCGGCCACGATTCTGCCAAGCGAATTCCCCATATAGCCTCCCTGCAGGGCGCTCGTGGCTAACTTGTCTCCTAGCTGAGATAGGAGGGGAACCAGCGCCGTCCTGACAGCGGGGCCCAACGAGCAGCTCATGCTCTTGGAGAGAGACGCTAGTTGCAAGAGAAGTGACGAGTCATTTGTCAGCACCAAGTGGCCTTATCAGAAACCAATCAGCACACAAGACAAGAAACACCACAAAGACTTGGAGGCGAGAACTTGAATCGAAGCAACGTGCACCGGCGTATCACAGCAAAGATCGCCGCCGCCCGCTTCCCTGAGCCCCTACTTGGGCCTTGCGAGACCCCCAACATGAGCAGCCAGAGTAGCAGCAAGAGAATAGAACCATCCGCATGGCCGGCTCGCCTCCATTGCATAGCTCAAATACTGGAAACCTGCATGCCACTCTGCCCAACTACAGGCACAGCCTTCCCTCTTCGCGATGGCCTACGTTCTCTGGCGTGCTCTGCTGAGTCATCAGACCCTTTGGCTTTCTCCTTTATTGCTTCAATGAGTTTCTGAACCTCCTGAGCGGTCCGATACACCCGAAAGTCGCACACGCGGCGGCCGTTGACCAATATGGGAACCGACGCAGGTCGGTGCTCAGACACCAAAGGAGAGAAGTCACCTGAGGCACGAAGCACAAGGACATCCCCAAAACGGCGCACGAGCGAAGAATTTCGCATAGCCGAGAGAGTGTATATACACCTGAAAAGCGCACCTGAAGAAGCTGTATCACACAGATGCGGCTCTAAAATTAAATGTAGAATACGGGACCACCGTAATTGTGTCCTATGTCCGAGAGGGCGCACAACTCAAAAAGGCACATTCCAGTCGACATGAAACCGACAACATGGCCCCAAAGGAGGTGGAGACGTACGCAGTGGGAGGCAGGAAAGCAAAACGACTCGGCAATGGAAAAAGAAACAGCTGAAACCGCTGCCTATACAATATAGAATAGGTGGCATCATGCAGCTCTAATGTACCGCAAGGCGGTCTACTGGCAACGAGAGGCAGCGCAGAACATGAGTGTGGGAAAGTCAAATACATAGAGAGGTATAAAGCAACACGCACGAGAAGAGGGTGTGCCCCGTGGCATACCTGACTGCCTCTGCGCAATAATAAGGTCGCTAACGCCACTTCTAATCATCGCTTCGAGCACAAGACCAAACGAAAGCTTGCCGGCACCAAAGTGTAAATGAGGAGACGGAAGCGTCTGCTCAGGTGTCGCTGGTTCCTTGTCTTTCTTGAGAACCTCAGCGAGCTGGACCACCGGTAGAAGCTTCAACGCACGACTGACACACAGACACACAAACACGAACGCCGAGCAACAAAAGAAGATGAAGAGGAGACCGACATAAGGAATTCTGGGATACGCGTTGTGCGGAAAGAGACGCTCACAAAGAGCTCGCTGAGGGGAAGTTTTAACATCCGGTGCATCTAAACTACGACCACTGCACACTGGTTCGATTCCCCTAGATCCGTATACGCCAGGTGTCCTCGAGGCGAACAGCTGCCTGCCTGCTGGAGGCATCATAGGGCAAATATATTTCACGCTCCACAGTAGGGTGCATGGCTGACATTGTAGCTGCTTATGTGGCAGATGCTGCCCCAGACTGCGTCAAAAACTGCAGCGCCATGCCCTGTGATACTTACAGACTGAGACCTTTAGCAAGCTCCTCAAGAGATCCTGCAGCACCTCTCGCCTCACCGCTCTGCACGCAGCCAGCACTAGCGGCAGCAGAAGCAGCAATCAACTAGAGCATTAACAGCAGCTTGAACAGCAACACAGGCACTATGGACGGCACCAGTGGCTCTGGCAGCAGAATCAAAAGCATAGACTACGACAGCTGGGAATGTTGGCAGTGACAGCTATGCGATCAAGACAGATGCACAGTGCAGATCTCCCTGGAAGGTTCAAAGGCTTGGGAGTATAGGGGTGCTCGTATGCACACCCTAAAGTTCTGGTATTCCATACGCCATTTGGCGATCTTTGCTAAGCGTTGTTCTTCTCTGGCGAAAGGTGAGTCTGCCCCGAAGGAAACAAAGGGAGACAAAAGAGACTCTGCCTCATCTTCTGTGATCCCCTCAGGTAGCGGGGCCGTATGAGCTCCCTGGTGCTCCCGCTGTTTCTCCTCGACTTCACGCAGTGCGGCGCCAACTTCTCCTTTCGCCCCCTTCGCATACCCCAGTCGGTGACGCTGGTAGTCCTGAACAGATTTTCAAAACAAACAACAGCGGAATTTCTGATAGAGAATGCGTTGAGGCGCCTCGACGGCTATCCAATAGCGGGTTCCGTACGTACGACCCTAGAGGCCTACACAGAGTAGAAACTCTGTTCAAGACGCCGTTATCTTAGGTTTAAAACAAGATGTCAGCAGGTTCGCTAAGTGATATTGAAGAAGACCGCCTGGAAAGTTCGGTTTGCGAGGCACCAGGTGTTCTACACCCTGTTTCTCACTGCCAGCGGAAACTCACATTTCTGAATCGAAGAATTGTGGGATGGTCAAGAAAATCGAAGATGGGGCGGCTCAGATGCATCTCCTCAGTTTCTGTAGCCGCCGTTCCCATCCTCTGGAAGGCCATAGTGCAGCCTCGAGGGGCGCTAAATGGGAGTGGCGTAGGATTTCACAAGAGAAGTAGAGGGTGGGAGCAAGTAGGGAAGCTGCCGCCGCTACACTTTCAAGAAAGGAATCTGCAAAAACCGTGCGACCGCAAAGGCACAGTAAAGAGCTGGATTTTGTTTGATCGACAGAGGCTGCAGCGGGGATATGCTGCTGCTGCTTCAACTACTGCGCTTTGGCTCGCCGGTGTATGATACATCGTTGTTTCCAGCTCTTTCCAGTACAAAGATCCCACAGCTTACTCTTATTATCAGTAAAACTCAAGTGTATTCTGCTTCGGGCATGGCAAGGGTTGGCGGCGTGACCTGAAGGTGGCACCTGGGAGAAAGGCTGTTTCCGCGCCTGTAAGGGTGGAGCGCGGGAGAAAGGGACGACCGTGTGATTTGGGCTTCAATAATAAATGAATAGGAAATGCTTTAGAGAAGTATGTACTTGGAGTGTAGACGAATGGACCTCTTACACTCGCCGCTACGATGCGTAGAGTGTATGCAGACAGTCACTTCTTGGTGCCTGACCAGAGTAGACACACTTCTCTCGCTTCGTTGGTCTTCACTGACCCTTAATCCTTACATTTATTATTTCAATCAAATTAATCTAAATTGCGAGTACCTTATAGACTTGACAGAACTCGGTGGGCATGTTTTGCAGTTAATTCCTGTGTGCCAAGGCATCTACTCTGCAATGGAGACACGCTTCGGCAAAAACAGGAGACAATCATCCATAGAAGTGGATTCTTTCGGCTCGCTTTATCATTTCTCTCCTGTTCCTAACATTTATGTGTTAATTCGGGTGCTTATTGAACGCGTAGCTGCATGCTATGGGTGTGCCCTCGGCAGAAGGCAGTGTGCGTAACAGGACTGTCTCCGAGTAGCCTGCAACAAAATCAGTGACCCAAACATCACGGAAAATACGCCAACCATTAAATTTCTATGATCAAATAGAACTCTGCATATGATTCCACGCAAAGAAGACGGGAATGGTACCATTTAGAGCTCTGTTGGGCTTTTCTATGCCAAGAAACCTTCTCGGAAAAGCAGACCAGACCAATTTGTACACTAAGCAATGCTGATACAGACCAGGGAAACGTGGACTTCATTCCCCAAACAGCTGAAGTAATGTAGCTAGTTGAGTTTAAGCCCTGTACTTTAACTTGTTGCGTTTGTATTTTATCCACATCTCAGACTTCTACTTGAACAACTTCAGCGAGGAATGTGCACATCCCGTTTACAAGAAATTGAAGGCAACAGTTTCTGCGCCCTGCCTTTTTAGCTTCCATTATTCTTTTTCTTAGCGTACCTTGAACAAAGCCCCTACCATTCCCACGGCTCGTTTCTCATGGAAGAATGCGCCGGGGCAGCAACAACCACGCACTGCGAGGGGCACGACACGTAACTTCAACGTATTTAATGTTGATGCTTGAGCCTCAATATCAGCCTTCATTCCAAATTTGCAACAAGTTTTCTAGGCGTAGGAGTGGGGCTTGCAATGCGTGGGAAGAGGGGCTTCTACAGCGGGTTCCCGCTCATGATTTGGTGATTACGCATGCTGAGATCGGGGCAGCCTACGCTCTCGAGAAAGGGTCTTGGGCTACCATTCGTGTTGAGAGCAAACGCTTGGATCGCCAAGACAATGCAATCAGCGCCAACGGCCACTGAACTCCACGCCTTCAGCAAATCTTCCCTGCTGAAGACGACGGGGTCTTGAACACGGGCTAAGCCCCAGGCCGGTCCTTCTACGTATCGCGTTAGTCTGTTCTGCAAATAGGGTGCTAGCACAGACTGCAGAAAGAACAGAAATTGGCAAATCGGCTTTAGAATGCTCCAAGTCTCACCACAAACTCAGGTTGCCCCGTCTACGACCTACTCTAATCTTTGGTGGCCTCCCGTTCTTGGGGTCTCGCCTCCTACCCTTCGGCGGCTGCCACAGGCTTGCATCTCTAAGAAACACCTTTTTTGTAGAGGTATCTACCGCTCCTCCGGCCCCCAAAACCCTTTGCGCAGCGCAGTCTCAACTACCAGTCCTCTACCTCTGAGTAAGCGCGCTAGGGGGGCCTCCTTCGGAACTGCGTTAAGGGCGTTTACAGGGGCAAGAGAATGCTTTTCTTCCTCCCCCTTGTGCTCCCCCATCCCCCGAAACCCTCTAAACCACACCACGAGTGCTCGGAGGAAGTTGCATGGATATTTAGGCTGCGTGGCTCAGTGCGGGAGGAATGCGCTCTCAAGGCCGGCAAGCGAACAACCGCGCCAACTCCTCTATATTTTGACCCTGTGAAGGAGAGCTCCCCTCCTAACCAGCAGCGGGGCAAACGGCAGCGGCGCTGAAAGCTTTTTTCGGCGAATTTGGACGCTCGTTCAGTCGCAACTCCGTTAAATAGCTAGGCGCACTCACACGGAGAAGGAGCAACTGATACCCAGGTTCCCCAAACCCTCGATGCCCTTCACAAAACCATGCTGACCTAGGACGCCTGATGCCGCGGCGGGAGCATCATCAGGCACGCACGTGACGTTAACCTGCAGCCTGCCCTGCCGCATTGCTGCTGAGAGTTGCAAGTTGCTGTCTGGGACCCTGTAGGCCGCCCCTAAGGAAAAAGGCCGAGGCTGGTGCTCTTGCTGCAGCTGCTGCTGCAGCTGCTGCACCAAACCATGTTGCTGTTGCACAACGCGCAAGAGCGTCTCTGCTTGCTGCTGCTGCTCACTCCGCTGCTGTTGCATCCGCTGGGCCTGCTGCAGCAACTGCTGCTGCAGCAGTTGCTGCAGGGCGCTGCATCGCCATCGCTCTCTCACCTGAGGAGACGGTACACACTGCTGCACCAGGGCATTGAACTGCTGCGTCACTGCGACTGCTGCTGCTTCCAGGCGGTGCTCAGGCGTTGCTGCGGAGGTGCCACGGCCTTCCTCGGAAGAAGCGGCAGCAGCACCCGTAGTGTCTGCAGCAGAGCCGCGGGAAAAAAACGCTTGTAGCAGCAGCAAGATCTGATGCTGCATCTGCTGCTGAAACATCCCTTCGACCTCACGATCCACAAAGGCCTCCACTCCGGCCTCGGCATGCGCAAGCTGGTCCTCCGCTATTTCTGGGGGCTTTCCAGCGACATCCCGCAGCCTCTTCTTGGCTGCAGCAGAAACAGCGTTCGCACTCAGCTCTGTCACCGGCAGCTGCTGCGTGGGGAGCTCCTCGGGAAGTGCCTCGGCATGCGATTGCTGCAGCTGCTGCTGCTGCTCCAACTGCCAGGCGTGCAGCTGCCGTCTCAGGGCGTCCAGCTGCTCGGAAGCAACAAGGAGGGCAGCACCCACGGCCGCTGCCAGACCCTCCTTGGATCTATCCCTGCCGTTGCTAGGGCCGATGCTGCTGCTGGCAGCGGCCTTGTTGCTGTCCGTCGCGTTGGCTGTGTCACTGCCTTTCCCACAGTTGTCTTTGTCGCCATCGCAGTCCTTTGCGGCATCATCCTTCTCCTTCTTTTTGCGTCGAAGCCGAGAGGTGAGAGACTCTAAGGGTCCAGCAAAGGCGAACGTGCGTTTGCCGGAAGGCAGAAGTTGCCTCGATGGGGGCTCCTGCCTCAGCTGCCTCCCCCCCGGGGGCCCCCGGGGGGGAGGAGCCCTCAGGGGGCCCCCGAGATGGGCGGCCGCCTGCGTGAGAAGAGGCCTCTGAAGGGCCCCCACCTCAGCAAGACTGAAGACTGCAAGGATACACCCCAAGGCTACGGCTCTACGGCCACAGCGTATCCGCCGCGGCCCTCCCCCCGCGCATGCGTGAACAGCTTGCGGCATTGCAGCAGCTCAGGCAGCCTCCAGAGCAGAGCAACAGCGGCAGCAGGCAGGCACAGCTTCCGTAAGCGCGTGTGTGTGGCGGTGACTGCGGCAACCCCTCTGCAAGGCGCAAAAATGCGCGCTTGCCGCAGCACCCTAGAAAATCAAAGAGGCGAAAGGCCTGCCCCTTCTCAGCAGGCCGCCTGACCGAAATTCAAGCAGACTCTGAGAGACAGCGACAGCAGAAAGGGGAGGGAACTCCAGAAGCCTTCCCTCCTTCCTACTGGGGCCTCTCAAGAGGCCGTTGCTCTTCCAATGGTGGCCTGTGTCTCCTCACGTTTTTCTGCCTCCCGGAGTCTTAAGCACGATGAAACCCGCAAACTAACGCAATTACTGGCACGTTATTTCCCATGCAATTGTCGCATTCTCCAGGAAAGGGACCCGCATCCTGCCAGAGAAGGGCAGGCGGGAAGGAGGGCCCCCCGCTCTCAGGCGTGGTGGGCCTTCCTGGAATCCCGAAGGGCCCCCGAGAACAGCCCCGAAATGGCCTGCATGCAATTATTTTTCTTTTTCCCCTGAGTGCTTTCAGTTTTTAGCACGTTATACGTCATTTGAGTGCTTCATTGCTCGGGGGCTGAAGGGGGGCCCAGGCTTCCTCGGGCACTGCCGTCCCGCGTTTTCCCCCCCTCACTGCGCTCCCGATTCGTGGAAATCGAGGCCCCCATGGCGGCGAAGGCTCTTTTTACAGGAATTTTAAAGCCTGGACTTGAAGTTCGATCAGGCGGGAGCATTGATGCCGCTATTGCTTGCTCCTCTGCGGCAACGGGGGGCACCCGGCCTTGCTACAACATTAACCAGCGGAGGAAACTCAGTATTTGGAAGTCTCTGAATCCATGGAACGTCCAAAAAGACTCTGGGTCAGCTGCTGGCGATGCAGCGCAACAAGAGCCTCCCCAGCAGCGCCCGGTCCCTCCTGGTGTCGCTACACTCGACACGGCATCGCAGTCAGCCGCAGCAACGCCGCTGAAAGGAGCCGTTGATAACGAGGAGGCCAAACGCGCTGTCATCGCATCGAGGCTTCTTGAGGGTTTCCAGCGAGATTCCAAGCGCATCCAGACCGTAAGGAGTCCACCCTCCGAAGGCTCTTCCAGGCTCTCTCCCGGTACAGGCAACCTCTGCGGTGCAGCAACTTCCCCATGCGCATCGAGCGAGGCCTCCAAGCTTAGCTGCCGGAGGGGTGGCTCGCGCTGGCAGAATTCGCGCGAAGCTTGGCTTCCGCTGTCTGCACCCGAGCTGCGCCAGGAATTGCAGCAGATATTTTCGGGGAGTCGAGAGAGGCGAGAAGAGCCGCGGAGGAGAGAAGAGACTCCCGTATGCCGCGCTAGCCGCAAGCCCTTGGGGTCTCTTCTAACACGCTTATCGCGTTCCCCGATTTTTCTGCACGCAGCCAGGCAGGTTCCCGCCGCTCCGGCAGGCGCTGCCAGCCCCACTCCTGCTGCCAAATCAACAGCAGAAATGGAGAGGGCTCTCTTTTCTCAGATGCTGGACTTTTACTTCACAGGACCGCTAGATACAGTCCTGGGGGTTCCTCAGCGCCTCCTCGCTGCAGGAGGGCCTAGGGTCATGCACCCCAGTCGCACGCGGGGGGCCCCCGATGGCAAGCCCCCAGACCTCACAGAAGACCAGTTCTTCGTTTTTGCACTCGTAAGCCCTTTTCGTGAAATAGGTGGTTCAGCACGGGACCCTAGGATTGCAGACTTCTTGACAACTCGGGCCTTGGCCATGATGAACAACAGTCTGTTCCTCCAAAATGTAGGGCATGGAGTCCTGCGTTTGTGTATATGTGTGTATGTGTGTGTATGTGTGTTTTACTTTTAGAGTTTCTATGCGAATATGCTAAGAAGCCAGATTCCTCGAGGCCGTTCACCAGCCATCTCAGGGTGTCCTCCTGGCCGCATGCAGGGCTCGTCCGAGGCACCCTACGTGGCGAGGACTAGCGTTGAGCGCCCCCTCTGAGTCTAAGTCGCACCGCAGGGTCCTGCGCTGTTGCGCAGTTATGGAAATTCCAACGGCCAGCGCTTGTAGAGCGTGGATCAAGGGCCTTCCTGAGTGGTGTAAAATGGGACTCACCAGTTGGTTCGGGTGTCAAGAGGTTTCACGTGGGCCGAACACTGCAATCGTTGATATTTTTGGAAGTTCACAAAAAAACGCCCGACTGGGATTGGGGCGTAGTAGAGCTTGGCGTTCAACATACACGATTCCTCCCAACCCACGATTTATTCGCATCGTGGCCTCTAGAACCGCCGTTCACCTCACGCATCTAGAGCAGAGCAGGCTCCCATGACACTTCAGAGGATTTGGCGGCATGGCAGAAACTCCTCGCCCGCAGCCTACAAAGATCCCCTATAAGGACTAGGACGTTCGCGTTCAACTTTTACACAGAGTACTTATAAAATTTCCTGTAGGACACCGGCAAGCCCTAGAAATTACACGGCACAGCCCCCCCCACACACAAAGCCTCTCGAGGGGAGGAAGGGGGGCGCGGGGGCCTTAGGAGGAGAAAGGCTCCTCTCGGGCGTTCCACGATGAACGCAACTTGAGAAATATAAATCCCACCTTTTGGGTGGTAAGCGTTTAGGGAGTCCCGTATGGGAACGAGTTCACGTTAGCTCGGAGGAGATTCAATAAGGGACTCCTCCGAGGGCCATTTCCCAAAGAACAAAGCGTAAATCTCCTGCCAGCTTTCCGCTTCAAAAATCACCTTCGGTTTGCCACTCCTTCCCGCCTTCTCGGTCTTGAGAGCCGCACACTCCCCCAAAAGGTGCAATGTCGTACTAGAGGGAACTCCTACGGGCGCCTCAGATGGAGCCTCAGGGTGGCCCCCTTTTTCCAAGCATCTCAGCAGCTGCTTGAGCGGCAAGAACTGCACACTGTCCGCCTGAGCAAATCAGCAGCGACACCCCCAGCAAGACGACACCAGACTGAACCAACCTCCCCCCTAATCCGCCCCAAAAAGCAGCTCGCTCGTTCACGCAACGGAGGGCAACAAGGGCAACAATCCACACCTTAATGGAGAGCACGCCGAGGGAGATCGGTATGTCTGCAGATAAGAAGCCTGCCATATCGCCGTCCCTGCATTCCATACGAGACGCATGTAGAGGCAGCAGCAGGGTCGATAGCAAGATACCAGCAGCAACAGAAATTCTCAGGAAGGGAAGCGCAGTGGCTGGTGATGGCCGCTCTCACGAGTCGCCGATGAAGACAGTCAGCTGCGGAGTTGCCTCCTTGGGGTTTAGGGGCACATTAGCGGATCCTGTCTCCCCATCGCCATCAGCAGGGGCAGTTCTGTGATGAGCACTCCGTCGCTGTTGCAGCTCCTTCCTAGTAATGAACGCCCATGCCCGTCGCTCTAGGAGGGCCCGGCGCTTATCAGAAAAGGCGACAACTCGCTGAATCAGCTCTCCTGCGCAGAGAGCACCACCCACCAAACCGCATGCACCAGACGTGCTGCACACAAGCGTACGCCTTACTTCCTTCCTCGCCTTCCCCCATTTTCGCAGCCGGGCCGTCCCGTGAGAATGGGGAATTTGCAGCAGGCACGCAGTGTGGGCATACACTATGGATCCCGCTTCCCTACTCAAGCCATAGGCCACATGCCCTCAACCGTAGATCTAGAGCTCTAAATAATCCTACGCGCACCCGTGGACACGCCGTCTGCATCAAATTGAAGTTCATTTGCATCCACAGCCAGCAGAGGCATATCTGGGAGAAGGTCGTCTCCCTCCGCTGCCAGCATGGCCATTGTAGACGCAGCCAAATCCTTGGGAACGCTCTGCTGCGCCAGCAGGTCCGTAGCGTCTGCAAAGGCCACGTAGTTGAAGGGAGCTGAGATGGCCGTTGCTGGTGCGGCTTTGCGCAGAGCGTTCCTGAGGATCCGCCTGAGCGCTTGAAAGACGAGGCGGCGGCTCCAAGCCAACGAAATGAATGCCACGGGAATGCCCTTTGCCATCAGCTGTAGTATAGTCTGGACCAGCAACGCAAGGACAGGCAGGCAGAGAAAGGGGAGAGGGAGTCTGCACGAGACGAATGGAGGTGCAAGGGACAGACACAGAAGGAAAAAAAGACACGAATACGATGCCCAAGGAAAGAAGGGCGCACGGACGGGTTAGGAACGTGAAACCATAAACAAGAAAGCAGTCTGCCCGGGAAAAAAAGGAAGAAGAAGAAGAAGAGAAAGTGGCAGGGGCGGGGGAGAAAAGGGGGAGAGGGAGGGGGTTGCCGAGCAGCCATGAAAATGCCTGCGTACTTCTGGGGCCGCAGGCCTGTGGACCTGCAAGAGACTTTCTGCAGAGTTTGCAAATCTGTCAATGTCTCCTAAGAACACAGACGCAGCCAAAAGCGTTTGGGAGGCTCCCTGAAAGTCTAGCGGAAGTGGGAGATCGGCGAGCTGTACGGTCCGGCGCGTGTTGCGTGTCTGGACAAAAGTCTTCCCATCGCTCGAAGAAGCTTTCCGTTACGCATGCGACCGATGATGTGAGCCTATATTCGTTGCTAGCCGTATCTACCCTTCGCTCTCTGTTCTTGCTTACTAAAGTGGAGTCCTTTGAGGATCTTTCTCGTATTCTCAGTTGAGGCCATCCGTCGTTCATAGGCATCCAGTTCATCCAGCAACTGATGCATCTCCGCTTCCTGCAGTGGGAGGCCTGCTGCCAGCGAGGGATAACTGGACAGAACAGCCTTGTAGCCCTCTGAATACGCCTTTAGTGCGGCTTTTTCTGCTGCTGCGAAGCCTTCAGGGTCTCCTTCACGGCCCAGAGTGCGGCTGGCCTTCAAGAGGGCCTCCGTGCTGTCTCCACAAGGAGGAATGGCAGTGCCGGGGGGAGGCGGGAACGTCGCGGAAAAAAGCACATTGTGGGGGTCGAAAGAATCCCTGGAAATCTCCTGCGGCAGCTTCCCAAGGATCACAGTACCATCGATATCAACGGCAACGAGCAGAATATGCGGCCAGATGCCCCGAAGCTCTCCCAGTGTTGTTTGGGAGACGCTCTTGGCTGCTGCCAACGGGTGGCACTCCCCTTTCGCGCAGTCTGACGGACGCGCAAAAGAGCTCTCAGGAAGGGAGGAAGCTCCCTCGGGAGGTGAGTGGGACTCTAGAGAAGCCATGAGGTCCTCGGGAGGCGTCTGTACAGCTGGAGAAGATCTATTCACGCCTACAAGAGGGGAATCTCCCCTGCCTGCGTGTGCGACACCCACTTTAGCTGTCCATAGAGGCGCGCCTTCTTGAGGGTGGGAGGGATACTCATGGGCCTGGTGCAAAAATGCCACCTCATTGGGGCCTACCCCTACGACATCTGCATTCGCTAATCCAATACATGACGCATGAAACTTCAGAATTAAGGCAAGCACTAATGCATTCGCCGCCTTCACCATATCTGCCTTCCTGAGTGCCTTGCAAGTACGCAACGGATCCAAGCAAGGGAGTCGCGTGAAGTAATGCCTTCATACCTTTTAGCGACGAGAAACATCAACAATACTTTCAGCAAAAGTACACTTATTTCTATATTTCGATCAAGTCCTACTACTGTGGGAAGCCAGATCCCCCCCTTCCCCGTTGCTTACCTGGGGTCCCGTGAAAGGGATATTGTGGGGTTTGCCTCCTTGCATATGCTACATTTTGGCTCAAGTGCATACATCGTGTTTTACTGTCTGTATTAAGCTCAAAATCTAATGCTTATTTTCCCAATAAACTGGAAGATAGAGCAGATGACTCTGCAGCTACATGCTACCTGAGTGGTTTCAGAGTGATGTCGTACCAAATAAGCAACCCTTTGATACTCTATGCTACCTTAGCTGTGTTCAAACTTTAAGTTGGTGGAATTCAAGAATATGCGATTATCGTTCTCATTTGTTACTTGTTGCAAACTAGCTCAATGCAAATCCAAGCCGTGTGTAGTGACTGGCTGAGCTGCACTCCACCGTGATTCCCTACGCCAGTTACATTTACTGCTAAATTAGTCACGAATTGACGAATCGAATTGGTTCATCGTATCGCTAAATTACCGTAGAGTATTATTTGAAGCCCGTGTTATGCACATGTGAGTTAGATGCCATCTGGACCTAGCTAAGAGTGTTTGGAAAGCGTAGAAGGTGCAGCAACGCTCACCCTAGCTGTCCCTCTTTCTTGGCGTCAGAATTCTGAAGTTCATGGGCATGAGAAAAAAAAAGGTTGTGTTTGAGAAACACTCAATGACTTCCTTGGGGTTTGTATTGAGTCTGGACCAAAGTGTCTCCTTACAGAGACGTTGCATAGAGCAGTACAGCTGATAGTGCCACACAATTCGATGCGGCTGTTACCCCCTCATCCGTATGCAGAGTATGCACTGCGATGTCAGCTGTTCCTACAATTTTTGGATGGTATTGCCCTCAACAGCGCGTTAGCTCCTGCTATCACAGAGAATATCAAATAGTTTAGAACTACACGAGGATGCACAACGCCAAAGAGCATTAAAAGTCGAAACGGACTCAGAAAATGCCGGCTGCTTGGCAAGCAAAGAAGGCACATCAGGAAAACCGAATTTTCCCGACGCATGCCGCGGCTCAGAGAAGAAAGCCTACAAAGGATCGGGCAAGTTGGGTCCCACCACGGGTCAATTTTGCGCTGGTATGTTCCCTTAAGGGTCAAGAAATGCGGGCGATACTTGACGCTGGATGTGAACTGGACATTTTACACGAGAAGACGGCGCAGAAGTACAATCTGGCTGTTCACTCGGTAGAAGAGTTCCTAAGACTCAGGTTTACTGCCAGGTGGCAGCACGCAAGGATCGACAAGGCGGTAGCGCAGATATGCCCTTTCACATTAGAACTGGGTCTCATTAGCATGGTCGCTGAAGTCTGTTGGATCTATGTGCGTGGGTTCATACTAGCTATTAAATGGGCGGCCTAATAGAGGGCTCGCATGCGTCCACAGCTGCTGGCTCAGGAGGGTAGTGTCTTGGGATGAGCTAGGGAAAAGCACATCCTGGTATGCTCAACAGTGCTCATTACACCTATGTGAAAAAGGCATAGCCAGGGCTTGAGCAAGTTGAGGCTTATTCATTGTGCTGGCGGCTCAGCAGTGCCGTACGAGAAAACGGTTCTGATCTCGCAACCCGTCTTACTGGCTCTGCAAGTGATCCCTCCTTGGAAATTCAATGAGCGTCTCAGCTGAGGAACAGCAAGAGGAGGCAAATATCATATAAAAGCTTGCCAAACTGCCAAAGCACGTTTTGAGCTAAACCGTGAGTCCTCATGCACCACGCTGCGAAGGAATTTCGTGTAGAAATTGTCAGCAGCTGAAGTCGTGGAATTATCCTAAACGCACTCATTACAACGCTTTTTTTTCTTTAAATGATTTATCTTGCCCTGGCTGTGATTGTTATTGTTAGACTACCGAAATTTAGAGTCTGGATTGCAAGCCCATTTTCCCTTTGCTCCAGCTGTCACGGCTCAGCAAAGTGATCAACTGATACTTGAGCTAATAACAGCTGATGCTTAACACATTATTCATGAGGGTCTCCACGGATAACGATATAGAGAATGTTTTTGGACGTACCTAGTTACTCGCCTGCCAGTTGACCTTCACATGACTCTTGCGAACCATCCTGATGCACATAGACAAAAAGAGCGCACCAACCACATTCTCCCGCAGTATTTGCGAGTACATGCTAAAAATGCGCAATGTCTTACCATGAGATTCTTCCTTTTGGTGAACTGGTTCACAATACAAAGATACGCTCGTCTACGCGTTGCTCTGCCCCAGCACTGGTCTACGCTGGGGAGCCCCTCTCCGTTCCAGGCCTGAACTTCGCGTTCAGCTGTCAGCTGCCACCCATAGAGGCAGAGGGATTCAGAGAACAGCTGGCTAGTGTATCCGAGCGTATGTGCAAAAAGCTCGAAAAGGACTACCATGAATTTATGAAGCGGCATTCAGTTATGTGTTTCGAGTACGGAGACTTGGTCCTGGTGGATCAGCAGGCTTTACAAGATGCATAAGAAGACAACTGCACCAAACTTTCTGGGTCCAGGTGGCTAGGTCCATTCGCTCACGAATCACTGCTCAATAATACTCTAGATGCTTCCTTAAAAGTTAGAGCTTAGTCCTAGCAGTATTGCCTTCCCAATTAAGTTTCAAAGCCCTGCCAGTCATTCGCAAACCTTGCCACACAGGCAATTAACCCCTATGAGGACGGCTGAACCACTTGAAGCAATAAAGTGCTGGACTGTGTGTCTAGTGAGCACAGATGACAGCCTAGACGAAGCTTCTAGTGAAATGGTTGGGGGAGCGCCAACCTGAGCCGTTGAGAGAGAAGCAGTCGAGGGTTTCCTTATCTGCGGGGTATTTCGCGGTTTTTGTTGGCAAAAGCAGCGAGTCGCCATGGGCCCTATCCCTTGCCTTCTCCGGCAATCATCCTTCCGCAGTGTTATGCTCTGGCTGCAATGGCCACCTGCACTTACGGCTACTGCTTGGAAAGCTTTCAATTAGCATTTCTAGAGTGCTCTTTGCACTTAGCCTAATGTGCAAGCACCCGCTGGTACTTTGTCTTTTATTTCTTCCATAGGCGGATGATTGTGGTCTTCATTGGTTGTGCACCTTGCAGCGCCTGTGTCCATCTGCAAACATGCTCCATGAGACGCTGAAGCACTGCTTGACTAGGATGAATCTAGATGTCCTAGGAGCACTTTACTAGCCTTCTGTTTTTTCTAGCAAGAGGCTCACATATTTCAGGGTTCTGACGACAGTGCTCCACCTCACCTCCTCGGTCGCGCTGGTTTGATCCCTCTTTCGTTGATGGCTAGTGCGTGTTTTCCCCGTTGATACCTTTTTTTCAATTGATGTTACTTTGCTTGCCTCACTTCCACTTTTTCGTGGCTTCGATATACTGGAATGGTGGCAACAGGGCGGGCACCATTCGGCTGTCCTGCAAGGAGTTCTAACATACTGAAAGGGGTCAGCTGGAGTGCGTGTAGGTGCGACCTCTAAGTACTTGAATCATTCACAGCTAGTTGCATATAATATCTAGAGCCTACGGTATAGGCATGGATAACGCTGGGGGTGTTTTAAAGTCGTCCGGGTGGGCGGAAGATCATGTGGGCTAACAAACAATTGGACACATTCTGCTACACGGATTACACATAACTAAGAGTTAATTTTTAAAATGACTCGTTTGTCTGGCTCTTCGTATTCCTAACTTATTGTAGACTGCTGTTTGCTCGATAGAAGAAGACGCAATGTTGTGCGCGTGTGGAGTAGATGCCTTGTGGAACTAGCTGTGAATGCTCGCAGTGCTTACAGAGTACAGCAGCACGTATCCCAGCTGCTCCTGTTCCTTCGTGTCAGGATCTCAGAGAGCTGCCGTCATGGAAAAACGGGATTTACAAAGACATTGAATAACTTTCTATTATTTTCTATCGAGACTGAATTGAAGCCCCTACCTACGGATAAACAATTACAATCTTCCGATTCTTTTACAGTCATTGAATGAGCTGTGGACAGCTGCATCGAACTGGGTGGTGCGTCCTCGTGCAACACTAGATCTAGGGCCTTCGTAGGGAGACGCAAAGCTACTGACTCACTGCAAACTTAACAAATAGTTATTAAGTGTTTTTCCAAAGATCTTTCTCTTTTACCTGCCCACAGGCCTGAGTGTCCCGATATGAGGGAAGAGGGCAAACTAGAGTACGCGTGGCTACACCTTTCAAACCTTCCTAGCACTTACTGCAGGCTGCACATAGTAGGTACCTCACACGCAGCTTTTCATCTTCATGCATCGACGTAGTGATACTCTGCAGCAAATACGACACGCTCACAGACAAGCCAAATAATCAATTTACTAGTACTTTAAACCAAATATCAATAATTTACTGTGAACTGTTTGAGTGAAACTTAGCCCAGTACATCAGGAATACCACCACACTGACATGTAGGTATGGTGGGTGTGCAAAGTGTAGGTACGACGAATTTTATGCCATCAATTTCAGTTTGTTACGGATAAGGGGTTTTGTATTACTATACTATAGTCTTTGTGCCTGGGCTTGGTGTTATCTTGAGCTACAATGCGGGATTGGCAGGGCAGCGCTTAAGGGCATCCACTTTTGCCGGGCCGCTGGTCCTCATCATGGGTTAGAGCTGAAAGGACTGAGAACATTGAAACAACAGGCGTTTTAATATGAGTATTTACCGTAAGTTTTGTGCTTTCTAGCCCATGAAAGCTGCTCCTGTTTCGCTAGGCTGGCCACGCGCGCTTCACACACTTCGGTTTCCCCATTCATAATTCTGAACTTGTTCTCTGGGTGAGCATATTTCGGTTCACAGACAACCGCGTTGAATCTTGGACACACTTGAAGCACTGCTTGAGAAAGACCGTGGACTTCCAATGATCATTGGTCTAGCACGGGGTGATCAGTGCATCGAGTGAAACTTGCGAACAGTTTAGCACTGGTCCTGCAGCCGGCCTTGCTTGTACAGTGTAAAAGAGATATAAAGAGACATAATAGAAGATATATTCGGCAGAAGAAAAGCAATCGGGCTTGTTGGACGAAAGGCGGTTCTCAGCGGCAGCATCATCTGTCTCGTGCTCTGCGGTCAGTGAAAAACACTGCTGAGTGGCGCTAGACCAGGCCAATGAAAGTGTTTTCTAAGCAAATTTTGACGGAACTTGGGTTCAGAAGAGGTCGATTTGTCTTTGGACCGTAGATCCTTGAAACAACCCGAGCTCCAGCTAAGTGTCATGCACATGAGTACTGCACATAGTACTACAACGACGACCCAAGTGGGATGATTGCCCGCGATGCCGGACCCCACACGTAAATAAAAAAGTATAGCGAAGTTGTAGGCCTAGAGCGTATCACTGACTAGGTGTATACGGAACGGAAGCTGGATATTTTGCCAAGGCGCAAATATCCCTTTCAGAAACTTCAGTCATTCATCTGAGCAATTCTGAGGGTTGATCTAAGCTCCCTTCCCGCAATTCCTATGCATCACTTCAACGGATATTTTAAATTTAAAGTATATGCACTTTCGAAGGGGGCGAACCGTAGATCTGCCCCGCTATTTTCCTCCCCGTGTGTCACACAGCGCCGACTGCGCCGTACGCCATACTTGACAGGGAGAGAGGCTAAGGCCCCCCTTGCCTAAATTATATTTTTGATTTATTGCACGTGATTAGGAAACTAGGATAATTGCGCCGAACAAGTGTACAAAGGGGCATTACGCCGTAGGGGCAGGGGCCCCCAGGGCTGGGGGTCGTTGGAGGGGGGGTGGTGTCGGTGGAGGGAGTAAGGGCTGCCAAAGTATAAACGGCGGAGGAGATTATTTTTTTGATTGGCGCTAATTTTAAAACGAGAATAGGGGTATGAAAAGCAGCCGAAAGGTTTGGAGCGAGGCCCAAACATCACACGGCGACGGGGGGTACCACCAGGTGGTTTGTGTTACTGCACACTAAACCCTTAAACCCACCGCACTCCTTGCCCCCTGTGCCTTCTTTCCTCCCCCGCCTGTTCCTCTTAAACTCATTGGCTCCCTTCTGCTTTTGTTTCAAAGGTTTAATAGGCTTGCGCAGCAGCAGCAGCAGCAGCAGCACGGGGCAGGAGCTGCAAGATACCCACATTGGGCCGGCTACAGCAGCACAATAACCCTAAATTCTCTCATTCTCCCCTCTCCCAAAAGCTCTTGCGGTGTTCTTAACTCCCCACAAGGACGAAACCACAGAAGCGCAGCTGTGTGTATACTCGAGCAGCTTGTTGTACGAGAGGGGTTGTTTCCTGAGGGGCCTTGAGGCTTTGGCTTCCTCATGCCTTAGGGTACGCCCTGAAGTCTGACGCTCCTAGCCTGAACTATAGCTGTCATAAGTTTTTCTGCTTAGCAGCAGCAGATGCTGCAGCAGCTGCTCCTCGCATAGAAACAAATCCCACTGGCTGCTGCCCTCCAGCAGCTGCACAAAGAAACGCAGCAGCACTTCGGGGCCCTTTCGATCCCGCATTTTGTAGTGCAGCCATGCAGCAACAAACTGTCTCAACAGCCTTTTCTGTTGCGAGGCAGCATGGGGGCCCATTGGCGCAGGCTGGGGTCTCCTCACACCAGAAGTGAGCCAAGTATTTATTTTTTTCTGCCTTCGGCAGCAGCAGCAGCAGCGCGTTTTAAGAGGTCGTCGCGCATCCAGAGGCAGTCAGCTAGCTACACCCACAGTGGGGGCCCTGCGACTTGAAAGGGCAATTTTTTGACAGGTGGGATTGCGGCTGGTACTGCGTGTGGTGCTCCTGCAGACTCATTCCCCCCGACGATGCTCGCATGGCGGAGTTTGAAGTCATAAGGCCCTTGGGGCAAGGCCAATACGGCAAAGTCTCGCTAGTCAGACACAAAGTGAGGAGGTCGTCGGCTGCTGCCTGTTACTCCCTCCCCGCGCCGGTTGCTTCTCTCTCCTGCGATGAAGATCCTCTCGCTTCCGTGCTGCTGCTTCTCGCTTCTTTATAGCCGCTTGGGAGTCAGATAGGGGTGGTGTGCTCTTTTTGCTCCATCGACATCGAGAATAGGGAGCAGAAGTCAACGGCTTGTGCGAGAGGCCGAGAGGCTTGTGCCATGCCCCGCGTATAAGGAAGTGTCTCCTTTTTTTCGATTTTATTGTTCAGGAGACAGGTGCTTTACTCTGTTGGAAGGCTATTTGCTATGCCGGCCTCAGGAGCCGCGAGAAGCAGCAGCTCGTATCCGAAGTAAATGTGATGCGCTCCTTGGATCATCCGCATATTGTTCGGTACTATGAACACGTCGTCCAGAGAAGGCAACAAGCTTTATATATTTTAATGGAGTTTTGCGATGGCGGAGACCTTCATAAACAAATTGAGACGGCTCACAAACACCTCGGCGGCATTCAAGAAGACAGAATTTTGCAGGTTCTTCTGCAGTTGCTGTCCGCATTGGCGTATTGTCATGAGGGCGTGGGTACGTCACTTGCACATATGTATATATACATACATACATATGTATATATACATACATACATATGTATATATACATACATACATATGTATATATACATACATACACATGTATATATACATACATACACATGTATATATACATATATGCGCATGTACACATGAACATCTACACACACATACAAATACATACACATACAAATACATACACATACAAATACATACACATACAAATACACCACTACACAGAGGGGCCCCCCAAATTTTTCTCTTGATCTCTCTTCTTGCGAGTCTTGGCACCGAGGAGGGGCACGATTGGGTGTGCGGCGTATGCTCCTAGAGGTCTAGAAGATTGAAGGGGAGTTTCCTTCTGAGTGTTTTTTTCACTCCGCTGTGTTGACGCTCGCGCCTAGCCTTTTCAGGGGCTTGCCTGCTCTGTTTGTGGGTGCTGCTGCTCGCGCAGGACTCAACAGAGTGCGCATTCTGCACAGAGACTTGAAACCATGCAACATCTTCCTGTGTAGTGATCCCCGAGCTCCAGGTGACCCCTCACGTCTTCGGGTGAAGATCGGCGATTTCGGCTTGTCGCGACACCTCAGCCTGAACAGCATGGCGCACTCATGCGTAGGAACGCCGCATTACTGGAGTCCTGAGCTGCTCAACGAGGGGCCGAAGACGTATGACAGCAAGACAGATCTTTGGAGTCTTGGGTGTCTACTGTACGAAATGGCAACTGGCAAGACGCCGTTCGCTGCAGCCCAGCAAATGCAGCAACTCCGCCAGCGCGTTGCTCTGGGCCCTAAACTCCCTATTCCCGGGTATGCACGCTACTTTGGGAGCTGCATCTTTCTTGCTGTCGCTACCCTCTCTCGCCGTCCGTCCGCAGGGGCCGTCGAAAGCTGCATGCGAGTTGAGGAGCCCTCTGCGTGCTACTGCCAGCCGAATTCCGCAGCCACCAGGCCGCGTGTTTAGTAGCCGTCTTCGGCTGCGCGCCTCTCTCCTCACCTGCCTTCTTCTCTTCGAGTCTCTGTGTTGCTGCTGCTCCTCAGGTTCTCGACGGCCTTCAACGGCTTGCTGGCAGCCTTACTGCAAGCCGATCCAGCGCGACGGCCCTCAGCCTTGGAATGCATGGGCTTCTCCATCTTCCACTCAATACCCCCTACCGAAAGACCACCGATTCCAGCGCACTGCGACAGCAGCACGCGCAGCAGCAGCTGCAGCAACGGCGGGATCGTGCGCCAGCAGTCTCTTCTCAAGGATGCAGCAGCGCCTCTTGGGACCATCGCAGAAGAAGAAGAAAATGAGGACCCCCAAACCAGCCACGACTCCAAATTCCGCAGCAGCAGCAGCCAAGGGCAGGCGCGCACGCAGCAGCAGCATCTGCAGCAGCATCTGCAGCAGCAGCAGCGAGTCACTGAACCTTACACTGGAGCCCTGCTGCGCAATACGGCCTTCGGATCTGCTGCACAGCGGAGGCAAGAGGACCTCATTCAGGCCTTGCCTCTGCAGCAGCAGCAGCAGCAGCAGCAGCAGCAGCAAGAGCTGCAGCAGGTGCAGGCGCCAACTGAGGAAGACAGGAGCAAGCCTCCCTTCCTTACGCGAGTCTTCTCTGCCTTAACGCTACGCGGTGCGAGGGATACAGAGGGACGCAGCTCGCCTCGACTGGCTGCGCCACCTGCACGCACAGCAGCAGCAGCAGCAGCAGCCCCTCTGCAGCTCGTTTCTCCCCGCACTGGCGCATGTCGGTGGCAACAAGACCTCCTGCTCCTGCAGCAACAACAGCAACAACAGCAGCTCGAGGTGCAGCAAGAGTTGCAGCAGCAGCAACACTTGGAGCAACAGCAGCTGCTGCTGCAGCAGCAGCAGCTCGAACTGCGTCAGCAGCAGCAGCTGCTGCTACAACGGCTGCAACGCCACAGCGCTGCTGCTGGGCAGCAAAGACAGAGCAGAACAGCCTCCCCTGCACTTCGGGGGTACAATGTGCCGCTGCAGCAGCGGCAGGAGGAGGAGCTGCAGCAGCAGCAGCAGCAGCAGCAGCAGGAGCTGCAGCAGCGTTTCCGCCAGCTCTGTGCTGGGTATGCGTCTCGAAACCTGCCCTCTGCTGCCGCTCCTCCTCCCGGATTTTACCCTTCTAGCGCAGCTGCTGCCACAGCGACAGCGACTGCGGGTGCTGCCGCGATGTCATGTCACCCAGCCAGCAGCAACCAACGGCTTCAGAGTCAGCAGCAACAAAGAGAGTATCAGACGCTGCGAGATCGGTCTCCTGTAGACTCTGCAAGCGGAAGGGCTGCAGGGGCTCGTAGCGGCGCAGTGCGTAACAGCAGCAACAACAGCAGCAAATGTAGCGGTAGCGGTTGGGGTGTCTTGAATTACCAGGGTTCTAACACAAGTCCACAGACTCCAGGAGCAGCTGCAGCAGGCAGCACTTTGTTTCCCCCCATGCCACGGCTTGAGCGCAGATGGAATGAGGAGCTGCGCTCTGCCGCTATTGCAGCAGCAGCAGCACCAGCAACACCACCTGCAGGAGCCAGGCCAGCTCCTACTACTGCTACTACTCCTGCTGCTGCTGCTGCTGCTGCTGCTGCAGCAGGAGCAGGACGCAGCTCCTCATTCAATCTGCGCTTAAGAACTCCCCGCAGCAGTGCCAACTGTGCTGCCGCCGCCGTCGGTCCTGCCGTCTCTACAGCAGCAACACCTCGAGGCCCCCTATCACGAAGAAGCAGCTTTTGCGCAGCATCAGCGCCTGCCCCTGTCTCTGCTGCCGCTGGACTGCTGCGGCAGCCCTCAGACGAGCGGCAGAGTCGGCTAGTGGTATCCCCTTCCAACGCATCCACGCCTCGCACGGCCTCGTCAGCAGCTCCCCCAAGAGCCACAACAAGCGTGTCGGGGAGCAGCCGATCCCCCAGGGGCAGCACCACATCCGCTGGCTTCGCTGCTATTGCCGGAGGCAGCAACAACGCGAGCAGTCGGGTGACAGCGCCACGCAGCAGCTGCAGCAGCAGCACCCCTCGGGCAGCTGCGGCCTCCTTTGCCGCCAACGAGAAAAACAGCAGCAGCAGCACCCCTCGTGGAAGTGCGGCAGATCTTGGAGCTCGTCTCGCCTTCGATGGCGCTAGAGAGACTCGTCTTCTCGAGACACTCTCGCAAAACAGACGGGCCGCACGGCTTAGCGAGGGGAACTGGCGGGTAGGCGAGCAGTTCGCGGAAATCCGACGTTCTGATTGGTTAGAGGAGGCTGCTTTTGCTCTCCCTGCTGCTCTTCATGCAACGGGAACGAAACTGACACCCCAAACCGGAGACTTCGTTTCGGGAGCCTCAACGAGTGCCTCCGGCTGCACCTCCTCAGGGGCATCCCGGTGGGAGCAACCAAACCTCTCTGGAGAGCTTCAGCAACAGCTTCAGCAGCACCAGCACCAGCAGCACCAGTACCAGCACCAGCAGCAGCAGCAGCTTCAGCAGCAGCACTATCACAACCCTTTCCTTAAGCCGCTCGAAGGCCCCCTGCAGCACCACATGCACAGGAGGGCTTCAGACTCAGGAGCAGCCCTGCGTGGCAGGGGCCCCCCCCACTCCCAATCAGGCGTCTCACCCGTTGCTCCTTATGGTCAGCATGGGATCTACAGAAGCGGCTGCAGCAGGAAGAGCTGCACCAGCAGCGGCGTGCAGCAGGAAGGCCTGCAGCAGACTCAAGCCTCGCCCTAGGCACCGCCAGTAACACACACCACCACCTCCCTCGTGTAGCAGAGCTGCATGCCCTTATGGCGCCCCGTACGCGTGCTGCTGCCGATACAGCAGACGCGCGCGCTAATAGGTCCTTTCAGCTAGCCACCTCTAGCTATGCAGCTGTAGCCACCTCTAGCTGTGCAGCTGTAGCCACCTCTAGCTATGCAGCTGTAGCCAGCCCGAAGGCCTGGCCTAGCCACTGAGACTCAGGGGGTCTGGAGAGATTCTTTTTTGTTTCTCGCCTCTTTGTTGGCATCTCCGGGGCCGCCTTTTACTTGGCGAACACGACGCGGATAGCAAGGCTCTCACCCTCCTATGACGGGTTTCTCAAAGGCGGCGTGCAGCAGCGACGGGCGTTACAATAACTGAACAAAAGGTTTGTGCCTACAGGGGCCCTGTTTTTTGCGTTGAAATGTTGCTGCTCCACGTCCTCCTCACATATGCGTTACATTGGGCGCTAGTTGACTTGTCGCTCGAGGATCGGCTCTAGAGAGAAGTGCTCTTGTAGCTTCCCGTCTTTTGCCCGTTGGCTAGTGCGAGCAGCAGATAGTATCCGCAGCTACTCCCTGGCTATCGCGCTAGCTACCCGCAAAGTGTCGCTGGCTAGCTGACAGCGTAGCAAGAGGGATCGGGGAGGGAGGGTAGGGGGAAGAGGGAAAGGAGGGGGGAAAGCGGCGCATGACTGGCGCGCTCAGAGAGACGCAGAGCAAGGAAGAGCTAACTCCTGCTATTCCTACTCGTTGGCGAGACACCACAATTACAGTTGCCGCTGTAGGGGCCTGTCATAAAGGGCGGCTTTTTCGCTCATTTCTTTTATCCGCGTCGAGGATAAGAGCGCGAAGCGCAAACGGAATTGACGCTGCAATGGCAGCTGCCTAATTGGTTGGCTTAAACGCCAGAAGCCAACAAACACCCTGCTGCCTCTTCTGCTGCAGTAGGTCGCTAAGATTTAGATAGCCTCGGGACGGTGGATTTGCGCCTTGGAACGTCAGTAGTACGGCCCAAAGGAAAACAAAAGACGGAATTCGTAAGGGTGCTGTCGAGACACCTCCCTCCCAGCACCACCAGGCTACCCTGCGCCAGACCAGCAGCACCAGCCAGCCGCAATGCGATCACCGTGAAACAAGCCAAAAAAACACTACACTTTACACAAGGGGCAGCAGCAGCACATGCGTGACACTGCGCAGGTGCGGCTGCTCTGCAGACACAGGGCCAAACAGCAGCCAACACCCCCAGGCTACAGGAAGAAAAGAACAGGCAGCAGCAGCACCACCACCATCACCACGTCAGCTCACCATGGAAATATTGTATGCCGATAATTCAAACGCGTTTGGACCCGGTGAGGAGAGAGACACCACGGACCAAGACATGGTTAGCAGCTGCAGCTGAAATACGCAGTCTGCAGCAACAGCAGCAAAGAGAGCAAAAGCCCTAGCAGCAGCCCTGTCCAACACATGCAGTACGAGACTCTTCCCACAAAGCACGCAACGCAATGCAGTGTTGCCGCGATTCACGCTTTCCCAACCGCCGCTGCTGTGACTGGAGCAGCAGCCAAGGCAGATCCGAAGCAGAACCTCCTCCACCCCCCGTGTGCTGAGAAAGAACCCTCTCCTCCCCCTACCTGCGCAGGCCTCTCCTTGAGCGTTGCGTCCTCCGTAGACGAAAAGCGCATCCCGTTGAATGCATGCAGAATGCCTGCAACGGAGCAAGTGCGAGCAAAAGCAACAGTCACAAAAGAGCCTTGTGAGCGGCCTACGTGGCACTGTGTGTCATCTCCTGGCGACCAGAGTCGTTTTTATTCTAAAAGCGTTCCCACACAGAACGTTTGCTGCTGCAGTGGCTGCGAGCCGTAGGCCCTCTCTCCCCCTGCCACCCTGCCACGCCGTGTGCCTCTTTTTGTCCACCAGGTACGTCGGAAAAGGGCGAAATTGAGGGAGCATCAACGAGCAGCAAGCAGGGAGCTGCGGAACGGAGAGAGCGGAGAGAGGGAAAGGTAGAGGGAGAGGTGGCCCAGCAGCAGCAGCAGAGACAGCAGCAGCAGCAGTCAGAGACTGACCGCATGCGTGGCTCGGGAGGTGAGCCTCTAGTGGTGAGAAGACACCAGACCCTTTCTTCAGGGTAAAACCTAAAAACTTCGTTGGTAAGCCCCACATTGCTGGAGCTGCCATTAGGATCGCTGCTGCTGCTACTGCTGCTGCTACTGCTGCTGCTACTGCTGCTGCTGTCTTGGCGCAAGCCTCCAAAGACGATGATGGTGCCCCCTACGGGATACATCTTTGCAGCAGCGGCAAGCTTTTCCTTGGCTTCAGGCAGGGTGAGAGCTGGTTTCTGCTGCAGCTGCTGCTGCGATTGATCCGGCGGGATAACAAAAGCAGGTCTAGGACTGCTGCTGCTGCTGCTGCTGCTGCTGCTGCACCACAGCAAGGCGGAGTGATGGGCGTGCCCAGGAGCATTCAACTGGGGCCCCTCGGTGATCCAGAAGGAAGGAGGCAGCAGCCACGGCTCTGTCCTGTGCTGCCACTGACACGCGAGCACGTCAAAGTACCAGCAGTCAGACAGCCTGTGGCAGGGGCAGCAAAATCCAGCACCGCACCAGCAGCACAAGCGGGCATGAAGGAAGCGTGTTGCATCAAAAAACAAGTCGCTTCCTTCCGGCATGCGACCCTCTCCTGGGGCCAGAGTGTATTTCGTTCTACAGAGATGCGCCGTTGCAGCGTGCTCAAGCCGACCCCAACAAGGTAGCACACACTGTCCCCTCACACCGCTGCAGCCGACAGCAGCAGCAACTGCAGCAGCGGCAACGGCAGCAACTACAGCAGCAGCAACTGCAGCAGCAGCGGCTACAGCAGCAACAACTACAACAACTACAGCAGCGGCAACTACAGCAGCAGCAGCAGCAACTACAGCAGCAGCGGCTACAGCAGCAGCAACTACAACAACTACAGCAGCAGCAACTACAACAACTACAGCAGCGGCAACGGCAGCAACTACAGCAGCAGCAGCAACAGCTACAGCAGCAGCAGCAGCAGCAACTACAGCAGCAACAACTACAACAACTACATCAGCGGCAACGGCAGCAACTACAGCAGCAGCAACAACTGCAGCAGCAGCAACTACAACTACAAAAACTACAGCAGCAGCAACTACAACTACAAAAACTGCAGCAGCAGCAATTACAGCAGCGGCAACGGCAGCAACTAGAGCAACGAGGAGCGCCGAGGGTGTGTGTAACTTACACGCAACCCTCCGCGTCTAGGCCTCCGTACAGCACCAGAATCAGCGCTTCTTTAGAGGGTCTAAAGAGGGTGAGCGACATGGCAGTGCGAGGGCAAGGATGATGCTCAGTGTTGCCTTCCGCGTTTGCCCCCTTCGAGGGGGCTGCTGTCTCTGGTGCTGTTGCTGCCGTTTCTGCATTCTGCGCGAGAGGGCCCCCCCGTGCCCTTCGCGCAGAACCAGAAGACAGCAGAATCCACGCGTCCTCCTCAGTGGCATAGGCCCAGAGATCGGAGAGAACGTAAGGCTCCAGCTCGTAAACGCTCCTGCGGCAGTGCTGCCGCAGCGACTCCTCCTGCTGCTGCGCATGGCGCTTTGAGAGCTGCTGCGTCATACGCCATATTTCCGAAACCGAGCCGTCCATGGCTGCACGTGCTTGTACGAGACCCCGAAGCAACTCCGCCCTTTCTGCCCATTGCTGCTCTACCTGCTGCTCCTTCTGCTGCAACCACCACCCCTGCCGCTCTTCAGTCCTGCTCTCTGCAAGCCTGGAGAAGCATCCGCTGCTGCACCGCCTTTGAGGGACCTCGAGCGCTTCGCTTCTCCCCCGAAGAAGCGCTCTGGGGGTCTCTAAGGGCCCCAGAGATACAGCGCGACGGCCAACTTGGCAAAGAGATCCCCTTCTCGGATGCAACGTAGCACCACCAAACACCACCATAAGAGGCCCCACCCCGCAGGCCCCCTGCCCAAAGCGACCCGGAGGGCGAGGGCCCTTCTTCCCCACTTGTTCCCAGAAGCGAACACCTGAGGCCCCCCACAGGATACACACACACAAGCCACACCATGATAGGTACACATGCGTATAAAATAGACATATGTACATACATATATATATGTTTATATAAGTATATTTAGGCTTATGTATTTGTGTATATATGTATATGTGTACATACGAATATATATGTATATATATGTATGTATATTTATGTATACTTGTATATATATGTACATTTATGTATATATGCACTACATATATGCATATATGTACTTCTGTAAATGTGTATGCTAATTTTAAAATGTATGGGCACGTGTTTATATATATATACATATATATATATATATATATGCACGAACATAATACGAATATGTGTATCCATACACCCATGGATGGATGGATACACATGCACATACATATATGTAATATAAATAAATATATATATATACATATATACATGTGTAGACACATGTGTATATATGTGGATGTATATACATCCATGCGTATGTAGAGTCGCATACTCGTATAGACACATCGATGTATAGGCGTGAGCGCGTACTCAAAGAGGCGCCAACTACAGAGAGAGAGACACCTATGTATACGGAAAAACAAAAGCACGCCAAAGCCGTATAAACCCCACATGCGGTGGGGAGGAGAAGACATAAACACGAGCTGTCTTTAGAAAATCATGCATCCGCTGCATGGCGCTTGTTGGCCACGCTTCACACAAGCACTGAATTGTCTGAACTGCGAAGGAATCAGGAAATGGAGGCGGCCTTGGCTTACAGCGGAGGGGCGGGCTTCGAAGAGGAGGCACTGCCGCCAAGTTGCTGTTGGGATCTGGAAGAGACGCAGGAGGAAGGAAACACGGGACGGAGCATTCGAGGGGGGGGGGGGGGGGGAAAAAAGTTTGTGAAAGGGGGTTGGGAAAAAAGGAAGGTTGGCTAGATGGAGGAGAGGAAGGGGCGCATGTTTCTAGAGGGGCAAAGGGGGTGGAGGAAGATGGGAGTGGGAAAAGAAAGAGGGAAAGGAAAAAGATAAAAAAAGAAAGAAAAAAAAAAAGATGAGAGGATGAAAA